GTCAAACTGGGCGAGCGAGAGGGAGTTAGCATGCAGGTGGTGCCCGTAACGTACGAGTATTATCCCATTGCTGTCGCTGTCGCTGTGTTGGTGAGCTGCTGCGCTTTTCCTGCTCCCTTTATCGCTTTATGGTCAGGTGACAAAATGGTTCATATGTAGTACGTACATGGGCTATGCCATATATATAAAAATTGAGATCGGTTAACAACTTTATGCTATATCACACCAGGCTTACCAACATCAACCTTTTCTTAAAGTTCTCTTTCAATGATCAAAGTTCAAATATAAAAATATCAAAATTTACAAATTTCCTTTTTCACACATTCAATCTCGCGCCACTGCCCTCAGTTTGTGGTTGGAGAATTTCCCTCATTTAAACTCGTTAGCTGCATTAATTAACCCCAGACTGGCCGTTTGTCCAATTATGAGACGAGCGGTTTTTCGTAACGTCTCATTTGCCGCGGCCACCCTTATCGTCGGGATAATGGATATGGCTATGAATATGGGATGATATGGGGTATGGAATATGACATACCTTACCAAAAAAGAAACCCAAAACACACATGTCTCTTTCCAATGAATATGGCTTACTAATTACAAAAACTAGTCAAAATGTAAATTAATCAAAGGGATCAGAGCTTGGGTAGTAATTATTAAAAATGGGAAAACTAAAAAGTTGCTTTGCTCTTATTTAAGAACCCCTAAAATATGAGGCTTTCATATTTTTAATTTCCCTTGAACTCTGCAATTTCCATCACCAGCTTTACCTGATAATTTCCACTTTCAATCTTGATTCCGATTGAGTTTCGGGTGCAATGAACCCTTCAACGAACAATACCGATCATTTGTAGCGAATTCAGGGTGCAAATTAATTTGATGGCAATCGAAAATGCAATGCCCATGGGCGTGGCAACCCCAACTCTGATTTTCCATTTTCCGCACAAAACGAAAAATCCGCACAAAAGGGTCTAACGAGTTTCTGAACTCGCTGAATAAGTCCAGCATTGTAAGCACTTGTCATAGTAACTGAAATACCAATTAGCAAGTCGCTTTGTTTGTTTACATTTCTCAAATAATTTGTATTATATTTACTTCGTACTTAAGGTTAGTTACTAGTAAACTCTGCCTAGCCACCTACTGGGATTTGTGTACCCTACCAAAAATCCTATCAAAAATGTTTCCAGAACTAAGCCAAAAATAGTCCAAATATGGAATGGTATAACTCCTTGAGTTTCCTTTCTAATTCTTATAATTTCTGCATTCGCAGTTAAAAATGTAAACATTTTGCAATATTTTTCAAAATTTGATGATGGTACACCCCTTATCGAAAATGCAACATTTGATTTGTTCTGATTTTCCCCCCAAACTGGCAATATTAATCCCATAACTAAGCTTAAAATGGTTCTAATATCTAATGAAATACCTCAAAAAGTTTGTTTTCTAATTCTTATCAAATCTGCATTCACAGTTTAAAGTATATAATTTTTGCAATTTTTCGAAAAGCAGCCGATGGTATCTCCTTATCGAAAATGTAAAATCGCTTTATCCCGATTTCTCCCCAAAACTGAGAGTATTTTGTTCATAACTAAGCTTAATATTGTCCTAAGATCGAATGCCTTACATCGATGAACTCATAATTAAAATTCTGCATTAAACTGCAATCACTGTTAAAATTCTACAATTTTCTCAATTTTTAGCAAAATTTTATGATGTTAACCCTTATCAAAAATGCGAAATTTGATTTCTCCTTATCTTCCCCCCAAAATTATAGTATTTTTCCTATAACTAAGCCAATAATTGTCCAAAGATGGAATGTCCTACATCCCTGAACTCGAAATTAAAACTCCAGTCGAACTGTATTTATGCTTTAAAATGTCACATTTTTGCCATTTTGCACAAAATTTTATGATGCTACCCCTTATCAAAAATGCGAATTTCGGTTTTCCCTTATTTTCCCCTCAAACTGGCAGTATTATTCCCATAACTTAGCCAATAATGGCCCGAATATGGAATTTTATACCTCGTTGAGCGTGGTTTCTTATGCTTATCAAAACTGCTTTCACAGTTTGAAAGGCCAAAGTTGGGCTATTTTTTGAAAATTTTGACGATGGTACCCCTTATCAAAAATGCGTAATTCGGGTTGTCCCGATTTCTGCACAAATATGATAGTATTTTTCCCGTAAATAAACCAATATTGGTCCAAATATGAAATGTAATACTGTAATAATGTTGAGCTTTGCTTCTAATTCTTAAAAAATCTGCATTCAAAGTTAAAAATGTAGAATTTTTGCCAAAAAGGACGATGCAAACGTGGGTTTATCCTTATTCCCTTATAACTCGACAGCATTTTGCTCATAACTTGGCCAATAATGGTCCAAATATGTAATGTAATACCTCGTTGAGCTTGTTTTCTAATTGCTAATATTTCTGCATCCCAGCCTGAAAAAGCTGCAAGTAGTAAGTATAAGTATAAGTCCGAAAAGTATCAAAATATGTTGACCAGAGACATATATTAATTTTTATCTAACTTGCATAATGCAAGTAAGCTATCTCTGCTTAAAAAATTCAAGTCTTTTTGCCAATTATAAAATTCTGCTTGTGTTTCCCCTAAGTCCGTGTCTTTGAAAATCCCCCCCAAGGGCTTGGAAAACGTTTTTCCGGCTGCAAATCAAACCCACCCCTTTCTGAGACTTACATACACCGGGATTACACGAACATTTTCTCAGTGTTTCATTGCGTGTTTGCGCGCATGTGTGTGTGTGTGTGTGTGTGTGTGTCAAAACAAAACGAATTTTCCAAATGCACGAATGTGCGAAATTCTAGACAGGGAAAACCCCTGTAAAATTGCAACAATGTCAATAAGTCGCTAGCGTCATAAATTGCAGCCAACTGAGGCAAAGTTCAAGATCCTTTTGGGTAAAGCAGCTGCTGCAAGGATAATGATGCTCGATCGTAGATTGGTGGTGGTGAAAAGCTGTGGTGGTGGTTGGACCTCCCCCTTTTATTCTTCTTTTTTTTTTCTAAACGAAAGTGTTACATAAGTTGGAAAACGGGAAAGAATGCAAATCAATTGGTTCTGGGTTTCTATTTTGGTTTTTGTTTTGTTTTTCTTTTCCTTTTCCTTTTACCTTTCCCTAAACCTAACCCTATTGTTCTATAGAACGGGTTAGCTTTCCCTGTAGGAAACGAGTTCTTCTGGTTCTCGGCTAGATGTCCAAAAGTTTTACAACATTTTGACACATCCTTGTACACTTTAGGTTTGGAAAATGTTTTACGAAAATTAAGACATATGGCCACATTCGAAGGGGTTGACCTGCGTGTTTCGGGTTCTTTTTTTTTAATTAATTACACAGAAAGAAATACAAGGGAAGGTTATTTATGATTAGAGATGAATATATTATCAAAAAAACTAAACTAAACATTGGGTTATATCATTATTAGTCAGGTTTTTATATGTTTTTTTTGGTAAATTCCACTTTAAGAACCTCCCTCATTGGTTTTTCAACAATTTCCTTATTATCCCAAACCATTTGCCAGCTGAACTTTCCTAAAACGCTTCAAATTGATTGACCTTAATTTCGTGTAATATATTTTTCCCTTGCAAAAAATGATCAGTGAGATAAACTCAAGGCCCAGCCACGCCCCAATGTCCCCATCCCCTCTGCACACGGCTGGGAAAACGTTTATCTCTGGCTGGCAAAGAAAAAATGAATACAAAAAGTAAAGCCAACAAACATCATCATCATCATCGTCATCAACTCTCCCATCAAATTAAACGAATTGGGTCAAAGGATAAACAGAATTATCTTCAAGAGCCTATGCAAAAAAAAAAAACAGAAAAAGAAAGCTGAAAAAATACGAAAGCCAAAGGAAATTCAAAGAAAATAAGGAACAAGGCGAAAAAGTACACAGAGTCCTTAAAAAAAAAAAAAAAAGCGAAGCAAACGGTTGCCACTCGAGCGAGAGGACAACCCCGCAGCAGCCACCCAACCGCCCACTAACCACCCACTCTACTCACCACCCAAAAATACACCCACCCTGTGCGAAAATGAAAACCACACCCCCCCTCCAAAAAAAAATTCCCTTTACTGTTGTCAAGCGAAATGTTGAAATTTCATTATTTATAACACGGAAGCTGTGTGAGTGTGTGTGTGCGAGAGGAATTTTCATATGCTTTTGTGTATGTGTGTGTGTGTCTGTGTGTGTGCAGCATGAGAGAGAGAGAGAGATGCTGGGTGTATGTATTTGTAAAGGACTCTTTGGGTGTGTGTGTGTGTGTGTAAGGCAAGTGTATGTCTGTGTGTGAGCGCCTGATTAATATTCCTCGCCTGCAAGGTGCTCTCTCTATACTTTTTTTCGACTCCACCTCTACCTCCTCAACCCCCTGGAAAAGTTCTCTCTTTCTGCCTTTCCTCCTTGCCTTTCCCATTCCCCTTTCCCCCCTTTACATTCTGCATCTCTCTGTAGTCAACAAAAAAAGTAGAAGAAGAAGGAGAAAGAAGAAAATTAGGAATGGGAAAGAAAAGCCCAGCAGGAGGGTAACAACTTTTTTGCCCGTCTGAGTCTGCTTTTACAGGATTTATCTAATAAATCTTGTGAATTCATTTTGAAAATGGATCTTATTGATCCTTCTTTTTCAAAAGTTTTCAAAAGTATTAAAACAATAATATAAAAATTGTTATAATTTTTTAATGTTTTTTTTTCTCAAAAAATGTGTATAAATGGATCCCTCCCTAGACATCCTATACATCAAGGACATTCTTCTTTACAGAAAATTTGATATGAAATCAGTTAGCAAATCAGTTAGCTCTTAAAAATAATATTAGAAACTCATTAAGGCCTTTATAAAACTAAAAGAAGTTACTCTTAAATTCAAGATTTCTCTTATAAATATATCAACAAAATATGTTAAAAAAAAAGTTAGAAATAAGTCACAATTCTTGAATACATTTTGTTGATAAGAAAATATAGATATTTATTTGTAAATATCTGTTACTTACCTTTAAAGTGAAATATTCGAAATCCTTTCCGCTTTGACCATTAAATCCTGTTATTCTTTCATGTCTTTCCTGTAGCTTTGGTCGAGTTCTGTTAGGGTGTGTAGGATGGGAGGGAGTTCTGTCCCATTATCTTAGCCTGATATAATTTGCATCATTCACATTGAGTCAAGTTCTGGTACTCCGGCTCACCCTAATAGCTAAAAACCATACACGTAAAAGAATAAGAGTTATATAAATAAGGATTTTAAGAAAGGATTAATAAGGATTTTAAGGAAAAAGTTAAATATTTTTTCTAAAAATTATTTCTAACCAACTTTCCCATTTTTGTAAAAGTTGTAAAACTTTTATTTATCAAACATTTTCTTAAAAATGTTAAATAAAATAATATCAAATGTAATTGGGTTACTAAAAAATAATTTAAAAAAATATTTTAATAATATTAAATCTAAAAAGATCAAAAACTCAGTTGAGGAAAATCTGCTCAAAAGTCCTGATTAAAACTCAAAAAATGACTCAAAGTGTACCCACATATGGGAAGTCGTAAATGTCCTTTTAGCATTTCTGAAATTTCTGTCACATTTTTTTTTTTTTTTTTTTTTGGTGCAAGGACTCATGTTGCCCCACCTCGTTTATGTGCCACCGCCCCCCCCAACCTTTTGCCAGCTCTCTTTTTGCTCTGTCTGTGTGTGCATGTCCTGCGCTCTCTCTCTCTCTGTCTCTCAGTATTCACCGCTCTCTTTGGTATAGAAAAGGGTGTGTACCGGCAGGACTTTAGAGGGAGACAGTGATAGACCGGGTGCAAGAAGGCAGAGAGAAAGAGAAAGGGAGAATGATACTGATGCAAGGATATACGGGTGGTGGCAGTGGCTTTCGCTCTCTTTCGCCGTTATGCCGTATTGCTCTGTCTTTGTTGCACCCATCAATGCTTTTGGGGGCCGGCGACAAGGATGCAAGGATACAAGGCTAGCTAAGATATATGTAGATGTATATGTAGATGTGTATAAATCGGACTGCGGACGGACGACCTGAAGTCCTGACGCCGTATTCCTTCTCTATTCTCGATTCAGTCGTACGTGTTCGTTCGTTGCTTTCGTTCGGTTTTGATTCCATTCGGTTGTGTTTCTCGTTCGAGAACATTCATTTATAATTTTTTACTCCTCTGCACCGGTTTTTGTGTTGTATATATATCTTCTATATATATGTATATTCAGTTACGAATTTGTTGTGTTCTCGGTTTTTTACCTAACAAAAACAAAAAACAACAACAACAACAACAATAACAACTCAAAAAAAATCTACAAACTAGAAACTAGAAAACAAAGCAATATATATGTAATAAATATTCACAAGAAAACAAAAAAACGGTGCAATTTAACCCGGGACGGACTCGACGACTTCGACGATAATCGTGCAATATATAATTTTTCCATAATTATAGAACACTTGAAAGAAAAGCAGAAAAGCAGTCGCTGGGCACTTGAAAAGCTGAAGAATTGCAATTGTTACAGAAACCTAGTCAAATCCCAACAAAATTTGTTTCTTTCACATTTTTTTCGAGTGTGTGCCTCGAGTGTCTGACTATAAACTAAACGACAGATATATATAAGATTATATATATACTATATATATATATATATAGTCAAGGAAATCGTTGGACACAAAGGAGCGTGCAGGCCAAAAAGAGAGCGAGCGAACGAGCAAGCGAGTCGACGCGAAAGAAAGTTGTTTTTTTTTTGTGCAATCAATATACATCTATTATATAGTCAGTCGAGTTAGTAGTCTCCCCCCCATCTCTCTTTCCAACAACCATACACTGTATGACAGTGGTACTACTCAACCGCACCTCGCTCCTAGAACTCATCGATTTCGTCTCGCCAGGCAGAAAGCAAGTAAGTGGTATAATGGTAATATGGCCATGATCTAATCAAGTTCTCTTTTATCAAGTCATCTAGATTTATTCTTGGCAAAACGCTGGCCAAAATAAATCGATAAGATTAAGAAGGGGGGAGGGGGAGGGAGGGGTTGAAGGAATAAGGGGCGCCATTGAAAATTTCCATGACATTTTTTATTTGTTTTTGCTTACGGCCCCCGCCGTTGCGCCGGAAAATTATTCGACGATATGCTTGAAGTTTCTTGGTGACTTCTGAGGGTTTAGCTTTTGGAATATGTACAGAGATTGGGTTTCTTTAAATTGTTTTAAACTTTAATAAATATTATAAAGTATCATGAAAAGTTTCCTATAGCTTTAAATTTATATTATTAAATATTTATTTAATAATAATTAAGATTAACTGACACTACAGAAAGGCATTTACGATGCCCTACAACGAGATCTTTTTCTTAGACGTAAACGTAACTCTGCTCTGGTATTTACTTTATGACTTTTAAAAGATTTCCTTATCAAGTTAGTCTTAAAAAATAAGTTACTAAGACAATACCTCATCATGGCTAACATCCATAAATATTTTATAAAATATTAATAACGAAAATTCCCAAAAAAACGGAGCAAGATACCTCACCTTTCTCCTATCCAATACGCCCTTTTTAAATACTCCGCCGCTTAAGGACTGGCTCCCTTATCCTTTAGCTTTGAGGACTTTGAGGAGTCATGTGTGCTATCCTGACCCTCCTCAAGGCCCTCGACAAAATGCCAGCCGACACACATTCGCAAATGAGGTCACAGATATATCGGCGTAAAAGTGTCAATTACACATTTTTCTCCTTTTCTCCTTCGGCTTCGCCTTCTCCGTCCGTCTTTTTTTTCCTTTGTTGCTGTTGTTGTTGGGGGGGCTAAGCGAGGGGGGTAAGCGGGTGTCGTTGTCACGCTGCATGCTGCGCAATTAAAGGATGTCCCCGGTATGAATCCTGCATCCTTGTGGGCGAGATGCCGCCCCCTTGCATTTCCACTGCACTTCCTTTTGTTCGCTTTGCCTTTTGTGCAATTTTCTTTTCATCTCGGTCTTTGCCTCAGATGCACTGCGGGAAAAAGGGGAGAATTTTATTCAAAAATAAGTGTAAATATTTAAAAGATTTTAAAAAGATTTAAAGGCTAAAAGTTTAGCTTTCCTTTACAAATTTTCAAAGGAAATATTCCCCAATTTATATTCCTACTTAAAAAACTTCCAATTCCTAGACAGATAGAACTATTTTCGCTCAGTGCCTTTTGGCTTTTAACCCAGTATTGCACCTTTTGTCGGGTTCAACGAACGCAGTAACAGCTGTTGGGGACCCAAAACCAAACCCAAACCCAAACATGCCACGATCCTTACGACAGAGAGAGAGAGAGAGAGCGAAAAAAAAAGGCAAACTGGCAATTGTGGTGTGGGAAATGTGGCAAAGACACAGGCGGAAAAGCGGGAAAAACTCAAACCTAAGGCCGAACACGGCCGCACGGGGGTTCAATGAACCCCGGAACAGGACAGGACATTATGGCAGGACATGCGGCGGCCCGTTTGTTTGTTTTTCGCGTCAGGTTTTTACCCTATTTCCAATGCAGTCCTTTTACAAACACGCACACACACACACACACACAGATGCCGGCGGCCAGGATCTAGGAAGAGTCCTTTTTTTTTTGTTGCTCTTTCAACCCCTAACGAAATTCCAATTGGAAACTAAAAAGTATACAAATCAGAAGGCTAAATTATGGTATTCTAATAAGGACTAGGCAAAGCACTTTGAATGGGTTTTTGGTTAAATATTTTAGGCTGTTAATAGAACTTAACTTTTGTTTTTAAAAATTATACAAAAAATAGAAGAATTAGCAAACATTATTTCTTAAAAGTTTTAGGTGTTTATAAAGCTGTTTTTTGTTTTAAAAATATATGTTAAAAACAAGCCAATGTTTAATAGTTTAATTAACAAATTTACTTTCAGTAAATGCAAAAAAGAAGTGCAAAAGTTTCTAGTTGCATACTTTTTCTAAGCCATTATATAATTTAATCAGATTTTTTCTTAAGGAAATTAAACATCTTACTTCTTTTAATCAGATTTTCTTAATATAAAAATAAATTCAAGCTTAAATCTCCGCCAATACCAATATAGAATGCCCTTAAAGATCAAAGAAGAATCATCTCCACGAAAAACAAGAACAAACCCAGCAAGCACTTTCCTCCTTTAGTAATAAACATAATTTACCATTTGACACGTATTTTTTTTTTGATTGCGATTTGGTTTCCATCTGCCATTGTTCCCAGCCGAGAGAGGGGGAGCACTAAATGTCCATTATGCAGGGTTAGCATCTTTCGATTCGTATCATATATCAGGACATTACACATGGCTTTCCATCCATATCGCCAGATCTACCTACAGCGATTTAATTAAATTCCAAGCCATTAGCCGAAGTATTTTGTGCTGACAGAAAAAAAGAAAAAATAAAGCAGAAGAAGAAACTCAGTTTGTTTGATAAACAGATTTTCAGCGTTGACTTACCCTTGTCTTTGGTGATTTTCAGGGTTGGGTGTGGGATGGTGTTTACTGTAGTGGCAGTGGCAGTGGCAGTGGTGGTGGTGGTGTTGGTAATGGTGATGGTGATGATGATACTGTTGGTGGTGACAGTAGTCACTCGATGTCCTTGCCAAGTCGTGTGTGAAACGCGCTTATCGAGCACTTTTCATTGGTATAGCCAGCCAGGCAGGCAGGCAGACGACAGGCAGGCAGGCAGCATATTGCCCAAATTGCATGACCAACGAAAATGAGAGAGCATTTTGAAAAGGTTTTTCCAGCCAAAAAAGTGCTAAAGTGCCAGTGTTATTACCCTTGAAAATAAAGAAAATGTCAAAGTTATCAGCTAAATTGGGCCCCCATTGTGCGTGTGAAGTCGAATGGAAATCAGTAGGTTTCGTGTTAAATAAAATAAATAAGAGATATGGGTTTGGGTTGTTAAAAAAGTTGTTAAAAATGTAAGGATTTCAGCTACTTATACTAGGAGATTAGAAAATTAACTTAAATAAAAGGAAATTTTCTTACAAAAAGAAAGGAAAGAAGTTCAAGTTGAGATGTTTGAAATTTTTATAAAAAATAGATTTCGCTGCCTTTGTGTTAAAAACTAATAAAATTCGAAATTTCTTTAAGTTTATATTCTAATTAAAATGTGTAAAAGAAATCAGAAAACTTCCCTTTTTCTAACTAGAAATTTTACTCAACTTTCTTTTAACCAGATTGAGTGAAAACGAGCGAGCAATCGAACAGCCATCATTTATCAGAGCAAAGACAAGAGGATCACCGGAAAAGTGGTAGATTTTTTAAACTGCAAGAAGAAGACAAAGACGAAGAAGAAGAAGAGCTAACAAAAGTCAAGAAGAGCAAAGAATAACGAGAAGAAGGCAAAGAAAAACCAAACACCACCAAATAAAACCAACTACTATTAGTTTAAAGCAAAAATAAACGAATAATCATATTCAAGCGGTATATATATATACACAAGGATAAAGGATAAAGGATAAAGGATAAAGAATAAAGGATAACGGATAGCAGATAACGGATAACACAACTATATACGATATATGAATGTATATTTCGAAAACCAAAGCTAAGTTCCAGTCAAAGAAAGAAAAACCAAAAACCAGCGCAAATTTAGTAAAAGTATAAAAAAAAACCAAGAAAAAACCAAATTATTGCTATCTTTTTGCATTTTTGCAATTTTATAAAAAAAAAGATAAACAAAAGAAAACGAAAAAGAATACCAAAAACAACAACAAAAACTACAACTAAAGATCATAATAATCTTTGATCTTTAAAATTTGGAGAACACAAAAAAGAAAGTAAAAAACATTTAGCAAAATTTACTCTTTTATCTAAAACGAAAAAAAACAAAAACTATAAAAACTATATATAAAAAATAAAAACACAAATCAAAGTAAAAACTAATTCAAGCATTAATTCAATTTTAAACGTTTTAGACAGAGAACGACGCTCTCAACTTAACTTAAAAAGCAAATACATTTTTTTTCGCGATCGTAGTTGATCTAAAACCCCTCCTCCTCTCCCCCCAAAAACTACTATAAACCAAAATAAAATCCAACGGGAAAAAAGGCAAAATTCCAATCTTCTTCACACGAGGTACTTTTGTGCAAAGCGCAAAGGAAACCCCATTAAAAAAATAAATAACTTTTAAGCGAAAATCAACCAAGCAGTGAGATTAAATACTAACCAAAAATAAAAACCAAAATCAGTACACGGATTTATAAATCAGAATCAGAATCAGAATCAAGATGACCAACGCCATGGACATAGTGAAGAACGGCAGTGCCAATGGCTCCGTTGATGGCAGCAATGATGAGTCGCGCACCAATTTGATCGTCAACTATCTACCGCAAACCATGACGCAGGAGGAGATGCGATCGCTCTTCTCCAGCATCGGTGAGCTCGAGAGTTGCAAACTGGTGCGTGATAAAGTCTCAGGTAATTTGGGTAAATATTGACCAATGCTTCTACGATACAATTTTACTATTTTACAATTTTTCATTGTTAAAAATTAAGCTCTTTAAGTTGCCTGTAAATGATTAATCAGCAGGCCTGTAGAAATAGCTAAAAATATTTTAAATATTTTTATATTTAGTTATTTAGTAAAATAGAATGGCATTTTGTATTATTTTAACAAAGTCTGGTTATATATTATAACCAGTTAATATATTAATTCATTAATTCATTATTTACATTCATCATTACATTAACATTCTGCTAGGCAGCTGATACATTGTCTACTTCTACTTTTTTAGTGTGTTTTTATAGCTAATTTACTAACTACTAATAAAATTTACTTAATTTACAAATACTAATAGCTAATACTACCTAATCTTAAATCACAAAAAGTATAATAAATATTTTGTTAAATCATTTTCTGCACGTTTCAGTGTCTCAAATAATTTCTAATACTTGCTTGATTTTATGTAAATTCTTAAAATAATATTATTCATTTAAAATATCTCAAAAAAATCAGCTTTAAGTATATCTTTTGACCTCTTAAAAGTATCTCTTAGAGCTTATCAAATACCTTAAAAAAATCTTGTTTTTATTACCTACTAGCTACTTAAATAACAACCATAACTAACTTATTTTTAACTATATACATATTTCCAGTCTTGCCAGCATCGTTGACCGCTCTCAACCCGGCACTGCAGCAAGGTAAGTTCTAAAAAATATATATCTTTTATAACCAAACTTCTAACTTAACTATATACCATCCATATAGGTCAAAGTCTGGGCTATGGCTTTGTTAATTACGTAAGGGCCGAGGATGCTGAGAAGGCTGTGAACACCCTGAACGGTCTGCGTTTGCAGAATAAGGTTATTAAAGTATCATATGCCCGTCCAAGCTCAGAATCTATTAAGGGTGCTAATTTATATGTATCGGGTCTTCCGAAAAATCTATCACAACCAGACTTGGAGGGGATGTTTGCTTCGTTCGGCAAAATAATTACATCTCGTATACTCTGTGATAATATTTCTGGTAAGTTTGTATTATATTATAGTTATTATTATTTTAATAATTATATTTTTATAATATTTAAAAAAAAAAAGGTCTATCGAAGGGCGTCGGTTTTATACGTTTCGATCAGCGCAACGAAGCCGAGCGGGCCATCCAGGAGCTGAATGGCAAGACTCCAAAGGGATATGCTGAGCCGATTACCGTCAAGTTTGCCAATAATCCCAGTAATAGCGCCAAGGCTCAGATAGCCCCGCCCCTAACCGCCTACCTAACTCCACAGGCGGCAGCGGCCACTCGCCGTTTGGCCGGAGCTCTACCCTCAGCTGGCCGCATAAGGTTTGTATTTTTTTTAGTATTAAGTAGGGAAAAGTAGAGAGTTTTTAGTAGGGAAAGAAATTGTAAAAATGTTCACAGAAAATGTAGAAAAGAATTGGTAAAAAATGCTGCAAAATAGAAAAAAAAATTATAATAAATTATCAACTTTTTGCAGATTAAATTTCTTAACAAAATATTATCCATTTAATATTGATAAAAATTGTGAAAATATCTTTAATTATGGCATTTAAAATCCTTTAAAATATATTTAAAAAATGCTTATTTTTTGCACATTTTTTGTGAGCATAAATATTTGTGAATATTCCACCTAAAAATAAATCTAGCTTGCTTTAACCTAATCTATTAATATAAATTAAAAAATATATAATTTCTTACTTAGTTTAACACCTAAGAATTCTTCATAATTAAGCTAAAAAAGAGTATAATTTAAGTAAAAGTTTCTAAGTTAAGTTTAAGTTCTTGTTAATTTCCGTTGATGTGTACGCATATTTTGGCATTTCGTTAACTAATTTTATTATCCAAAAAAACATTTTGTTTTTTCTCTTTTTCTTTCTTTGTCTTTTGAAAAAAACAAAAATCAATTTTATGATCATTTTTAGCATTGGAAAGAGTCCCATGTTAGCGATTAACAAGGGCCTACGAAGGTGAATTTATTGATCTCTGTTCATTTTGTCTATGCGCGTTTGTTACTTTGTTTATTTATTTATTTCGACTGGAAATATTAGAAATATATTCAAATAAATATATATAAATGTCTAGCGATAAAATTTGATTTTTATATTAATTTTGATTTAGTTTTTATTTGCTTAAAAAGATTTGCTTTTTGTTTTACTTTCTTTGTTGGCATGTCAGAGAGTTAACTTTGTTTACCAAAAGTTGGGTTTTAATCTGATTTTTGTTTATTGATTTAAAAGTTTTTAATATTGAGTTATATGAGAATATGAGTTATAGGAGAAAATTTGGAAATTTTATAAAGATTGAGCTGCCGTCTTATTTTTCCGAAATTATAGAAAATAATCTTTTGATCTTTTGAGCTTTTTTATTCTTTTTTCAAAATTATAAAAAAATATCTTTTAAATAATTTGAAGTTACAAAAATTCCTTATTTTAATATATATAATTTTTTAATATTTATTTCAAGGATTAGAGTTTAAATGACTGTTTTTTACGTGTATTCAGCATGAACTTTAAAATCGATTTAAAAGAAAAGGCTAAAAACTCACTATTGAGGTCCTTGAAAACTGTTAATTAATGCAAATTTTTAATAAAAAAAAGATATAGGAAACCTTTTTCTTAGTAACTCAGCATGTACCTTGAGAATTATCAAAGATGAAACGATACATTAATCGATAAATTAAGTGTAAAGAAGGGCCTAGACGATAAACTTATATTCATTATCGATGTAGATCATTAAGTTCGAGTAAAACCTAACTAATTCTACTTTATCCCATCATTTCAATGGCAACACTCAACTTTAGGTACTCACCATTGGCTGGCGATCTATTGGCCAACTCAATCTTGCCGGGAAATGCAATGACTGGTTCGGGCTGGTGTATATTCGTCTATAATCTGGCACCGGAGACCGAGGAGAATGTTCTGTGGCAGCTATTTGGTCCATTTGGTGCCGTTCAGTCGGTAAAAGTAATCCGTGATCTGCAGACTAGCAAGTGCAAGGGTTTCGGATTCGTGACCATGACCAACTATGATGAAGCCGTGGTGGCCATACAATCGCTGAACGGCTATACACTGGGCAATCGGGTGCTTCAGGTCAGCTTTAAGACTAACAAGACCAAAACCACTTAGGCGAACCCGCCAATCTGGACTAGACCTTTCCAATACTCCACGATCTGTTTGATTTGACAAAAAAAAAACGAAAAAAAAGAAGAACAACAACACACCTAGACTATAGATTGATCTGATGATGTGATCTTTAATGATCTATGATATGATATGATATGAGAGACAATGACAGTGTAGTCGAAATTGCGAAAAGAGAAAACATTAGCGCCATCTATCATTTGATTTGTACGCTAAACGAAATTATTATGATTGTAATTCTAATTCTAATGAAATCTTAGTGAAAATTGATTTGTTTCTATTTCCATCTGTATTTAATTTATTAAACTAAAAACCAAAAACAAAGCTTGAATGAGGCAACCAAAAAACCCAACACAGAAACTAAGGCAAACTTTAGACAAAGGAAAGAAGGGAAAAAAAGAGAACGAAGTGCAAGACAACTGTCTATAAAATGACAAATGAGAAAGAAAGAAGGCAAGCAAACGAAGGAAGGAAGTTAAAAGAAAAGAAACAAAAGAAAAACGAGAAAAAATGGAAAATACCAAAATAAAAAACTGCAAAAAATGATCTAAGTCGCAATATATAGTAACTATTCTTTTTTTTTTTTTAAATTATTATTATTAATTAAATAAAACTTATGTATATGTAATAATTCAATTCGATTTGTATTTAAATTAAAACCAACATAAAAACAAAAACGAAAAGAAAAGAAAAGGAAACAAAGTATTTAAACAAGCTAACCAAATGATTTAATGTCTATTGATTTAAGATTAACCCACAAATATAACACACACACTCTCTCTCTCTCAGCTTACCTAAGTACTCTTACTTACTTACTTATTATAATGGATATGCATAAATATATTGTATTGTCATATGTATCTTGTGTTCGTTTTGCAAAACCTTAACTTACCTTACCTTACATTAACTTACATTACCTTACCTTACCTTACATTAATTATAGTGCTATTCAGCTCTTATATTTAATTCGATTCGCCATGATTTACACTCGAAGACGAAGCGAGAGAATCGATGATAAAGCCGCGATATATCCTCCAAACGTAACAACAAAACAACAACAAGAACAAGAACAACAAAAATCAACAACACTCACACACTCGTAACCATTATAATTATTATATTATATATGTAACCAGATTACCATTTAATTAACATTTTTTTATGTCGTCTAAGATTCGTATTCGTATTCGTCAAGTGCAAACCAAAGTAAAAAAGGAAACCAAGAAAACTTATTATATTATATTAAATTATATATTATTACGCCTACTTATTATTCCATTTTTATAATTATTATAACTTATTGAAATGCAACCAAGCGAAAACCAAGCAAAACAAAACAAAACCAAAAAAAAAAAAAACAAAAACAAAAACAAACAAACAAACATAACTACAACTAAAAATATAAAAAATATATATTTATTATTAAATAAATGTGTGACTTATTCCAAAAACTATGCAAAAAAAAGAAGAAAAAAAATATGAAAAAAAAAACACAAAAAACTAAAACACAAAAATTTGTTTTCTTTTTTTCCTCAAATATCCAAACACACACACACACCTAAACCTAGAGTTGGCCTGTTATCGATAGATCAAGAGTTAGTGTTTTATGGATACTACCATCCAAAATTTATAGTCTCTCTCCAAGGCAACTATGGTGATAGATATTCTTTTCATTTTTATTTTTTCCCCAAAACAAAAGATCTTCTCTTTCGATAACTTGAGATCGATTTTTTCGATCACACTATCTCTTAACTATCGATGGCTGGCCAGCTCTAATCTATACCCACCTAATGAAAATTGGCAATATTGCAGGCAAAACGCTTTCACAGTTGAAGTGATCATTGAATAATTGGATCGGATCGTAGATATATAGTATATATCGAAATATGGCCAGCAAAAATCGGAACTTCAGCCGTGCAAATCGCTACACACATACCAGAAAATACACACAAACAACAACAAGAACAACAACAACAACAGCACTCGCATTTATACAAAGATATATCTGAAATACAAACTAAGTTTCAATGCTCTCTCTAAAGTATAACTAAGTTTTAACTAAGTTTTATGCCTATATCGAAATAAATATCTAACCAAACACGAAACTATATATATGTACGCGCATCTCTATAAAGATATTGTTTATCCGATATTCTAGTTTTTGAATTCAAGATCATTTAGTAGAGTCCACCAGCAATCAATATGTGTGTGTGTGTCTGTAGTTTAACTAATGGACAACAAGGATTAGAGATGAGATTAACATTTTTTTAAGAAGCAAATGATCTTTTTTTTTGGTGTATTTTAGGGCTTAAGGGTCAGGCCACATCTACATGGCAATCGGCCATGAGGCGCTAAAAACAGAAAATACTACAAAATAATAAAAAATACAAGAAAAAAGAAAACAAACTTAAAAACTAGGAAAGAAAACCAAGGAAAAACAAACAAAAGAAAAGAAAAACAACTCAAGCTAAGAGAGCAAGTTGCGAATGCAAATTGAAAACACCAAATTTTTAAATATATAATATAAATGATGTAAAATTTTTTAAACAAAGATTTATAGTAAAATTTATTAAAGTATATATATATACATATATATATATATATATATTTGTATTAAGTATGTATAACAATATATATACAGAAAGAAAAAAACAAACAAGAAAACCCACAAGGATAAGAGAATCAAGAGAAACCACTACGGAATCACGAAATTAAAAGGAATATGAGCAAAATGAAATGTGAAATACATTAAAAAAATACCTAAAAAAAAAACAAGAAATCAGCAGAAGACTGGAAGTCCACGAAAGTGAACTGCTCGCCAAGCAGTGCAGTGTAACAGATTTGTGCCCAAATGGCACTGGCAAGCAGTTCAGCATTGGGGACTGAGTGAGAAGACCCATCTTCTATGGCTGATTTGTTTTCCACTTCCCGGCGACTAGTTAACCTACTCAATACTCAATATGGCATATGGAATAATCAATCAAGTTATCAAATAATATCCGCAAAATAACCGCCGCAATGCAGCTGCTGCACAGGCGTGCGCGTGTGTCATTCACAAAAGCAATATGGAGATGTTGGCGCGAGTTGGCTGTTTTGGCCCATGCTGACTTTTATTATGTATATATATATATACATTTATTTATTTATATATATATATAGAATAGAAGAAAGCGAACGGAATGCAGTTGTACAAATCGCAACTCAGCCACTCGGTCACATTCATTCGAGGCACTTACGCCGCCACTTACAATTTACCCGATTAAAAAACATAATGAAACCAAAAAAAAACACCCATATTAACCGAAGCATATTAGTTTAAAGTCAGCTAAATAAAAACCGAAGAAACTTAAACAAGAAACACGCAGAAATATGCAAAAAAAAAAAAAAAACAAAGAAATCCACACACCGATCAGCTGGCAAAAAAGGTTCTTCGATATTAATTTTAGTAAACAAAAAAGGGAAAAATAAACAGAAAACAGCGGAAAGCTAAACTAAAACTGAACCCAACAATGAAAATCATCAACTAAGCATGAAATGCATTTAAAAATTAATTACAACAAAATACATATATATATATATATATGTATATGTTTATATATTATATATATATATATGGCCAGGATAGCGAAAATATGAAATTATAGCCCCGATAAACAGAATCGAAAACCGTAACAGAGCAACACCAAGAAAATGAATGAATTTGATGATAGAAAATCGTATAAAACTTACCCAAAGCGAAAGAAAGTGAAGCTACACCCGAAAATCAACTTCCAACATTTTTATTGATATACACTAAAATCTAGACAAGTAAGGCGATTTCATCGATACCAAAATCTAAGTTAAGACGAGATTTGCATGCAAATTAGCGAATATGAGAAACTTCAATTTAGACCGTAAGCGTCGAGAAAATGTGCGACAGATTATGCAAAAAGAAAACCAAAAGCCAAAAAAGCGTTAAAAAACCAGAAAATACAAATTTAATGGTCGCCTGAGGCAATAAACACGGTAAGCAGTGCAAGCAGTACACTGAATGCAGTACAGCGCAGCACAAGCAGTCGAGGGACTTTTTACAAGCAGTTAGAAAATTGCTTTTAGACTTAAAAAGAAAACCAAAAAATAAAAACACGTTGAATGATTTGCAAAATTCAAAGAAAATTAGTTTAAAAATACAAAAAAAAAAACAAAAATAAAAGGAGGATGAAAAAAAAACATACGTAGCCGCTTTGTCAGACGGAACGCGCCCAAACCAAACTAAGTAAATAAGTAAAAAAAAACCAAAAAAAAAACGCATATTTAAATCAATTTTGTGCATAAGAACAAATCGATAACCGTTATGCATATATATACATATGTATGTAAGCCAACTAAAGCATATATCCATATATATGTGCGTGTGCAAGAACAAGATTACAAATCAAAAAGGAAAATTCAAAAAAAAGAAAATCCAAAAAAAAAAACCAAATCACAACTCAACTTCAAACTTAATTAATTAATTATCCATTCGATTGTGTATGCTAATTATTATTGTCTATAGCGTATCGTACAAATATTTATATATACTTTCTCGTGCAAATCCAAGGGCAGCACCCAATTATTATGTATGCATTATACCCAGCGATCGTACTTATCCAATTAGTTATATTCATATACCGCATACCCATGCCATGTATTAACTTACTTTTAATATGCTTACTTAACTTACTTACTCTCTCACACATTTCGATATTGTATTCGTCGTAGAGCCCTACCCTAACCCCCCTGAGTAGTAGTATTTCCATTTATTTCTACACCAACCACCAACCACCAAGCAGCATCCAAAACTCAAAACACAATCCACGAATCCCAACAAAAAACCGCCCAACAAACAAACAGCTAAACAAATGCTCTAACTTAATGTATGGCAGACATATAAGTAATATATATATATATATATATTGGAGATCTGTATAAATCTGAAGGAGATTTGAAAGGAATTTCGCTGTATTTTACAATTTTAAATCAAAATTTTTAACTCTCTGAATATTTAATATTTGAAAACCTTCAATTCAGCTTGTTTCTGATTTAAAAACCTTAAGATTTATGCAGCTTTCTAATACATCTAAATGGATAGGCGCATATTTGTATGTATTTACCATAAATATAGCTAACTAACACCAACACAGACAAGAACTACACTAACACTACAACACACTGAAGGTAAATGGAAAATGACACAAATTTAGATGCATATTATTATTATATAACTTATATTGGAAAACCAAAGAAAAGCGATAAGATGAAAACATCAATTTTACTATACTCGTACATATAAATTATATGAATGTATGTAAATTATTATTATATTTGTATTTTATTGTATGTATTAGTTTTGTTCTACGCTCTTTTGCTCTTTCATAAACAAAAAACCAAAAAAAAACAAAAACCAAAAAAATACAAATAAAAAACAAAAAACGAAATCCAAACGAAACAAAAACTAAAAACCAAAACAACAAACAAGCCGGCAAGCAATGGTATACAAAATAAATAAAAATAAAAAAGAAAATCAACAAAAAAAAAATGAAATAAAATTGAATGAAAATTTAACAAAAAAAAAAAATTAAGTTTGTTTTTATTCCCAGGATAAAAAAAACTCTTTGACTGTTTTTTAACTTGATTTATTCACTACGTAAGTGTGTGCTTGGGTTAATTTGATTAAATATATCATAAATATCGGACATCTACAACATATATCTATATATTTATATATATAAATATCTTTCATAATTCATAAATAAATATCTTTATATTTTCATGAGATAGCTAAAAAAAAATATATATATATCTTTAGGTACACGAGTACGTATGCTGCATTTTGTGCTTCCTCTCAGGAATCGTATATGAACATATATAGTATTATATATATAATAGTTATGTTTAATATATTATATATATCGCTTCATAAAATATTACACTTAGTAATTTTGTTGCATTAAAACCATTCGGGTATTTGTTTTTTATAAATTCTTGACCTTTGATTCCCGCTTTTCTTTTGGATATGACATAAGTTGTGGTTTTTCTTTTAGTTTCATCAGGGATTGCTGTATGAAACCGAAAATCTCTACACAGGTTTAACTAGATTTATATATCCATACTATATATAGCAATATATATGTCTTATATAAACATTAAATGCTTTAATGTTCTTATGGTAATTACATTTTTTTTTTGGTTAATCCAAGCTTTGATCTATTTTATGTTTAAGTTCGAAATTTTTGAATGTTTTGAGAACTTTCTTAACATTTTTCGGAAATTATTTAAACTTATGAAACCTTACACTTTATTTTTTAAAATATTTATTATATGGTAATTATTGAAATTTGTTTTTAAAGTCAAGAAACTTGTATGTTGATCTTAGAACTGCGGCTTAAAAATATATTTTATGTCGCAAATTTTCATTATCCTAAATCAAAACAAAATAATGCATAAATCAGCATTTTAGCATTAGAATTCTTGAAATGTATGCATTGGCACTAGAAATCTCTTATCTAATCGATAAAATGGCAAGGAATATTATCGATTAGCAAGCCCTTTTCAAACAATTCTAAATCCTTATTCAAAATCTAAATCCAAAACTTGAAAAATAAGCAATGCTAATGATCCTTAAGTCCTTAAGTTTTTCAAAATCTTTGCTCGACGATCCGGTCAACATTACGATCGACCCTCGAGCGGTATACCTTAAACGCCCAACTCCCGGCTGGGCGTCGTTGTGGCCATCTGTCCAGTATTACTCCCGGCCGGCGGTGGGGTCACCAAGCTGGGTAGCCACTTATTAAGCAGCGTTCGAATGGCAAAGGTCACATCATGATTGGCAAAACAGAACAAGAACGACACTACGAATCCCTGTGGACTGACCAAAGCCACTGATAGCATTTGATAAAATCGATCCAACTGACTTCCTGCATCCGGACGATAGGGTAGCAGAAAATGCTGTAGACCAAAGAGTGGTACCAGAATGATGGTAGCCCTAACTGCCTTACGAATGGCCAACGGGGCTGGTTGGGCGGACTGGGGATGTAACTTCCTAACGATTACGCGCAGAACATTGATCAGAAAAACTGGCAAATATATAGATTTCGATTAATAACCTTATATTACTTAAGATAACTTTCATATATCATACTGAAACTAGCCAGCAGGGAAAGGGTTATGGGCACCGAGAACATCCACAAGTAGAGACTGTCATTTATCCAGCAGCTGCATTAGAATAGATTTCATTTTTAGTTTATTTTTAAGTATTTATGGAGTAAGATTGGTGAAAAGTTAAAGTGATATTTAAGATTTCTTGACCAATGTTGGAAAAGTGTTGTGGAAAAGTTGGTGTATTTGAATGGCAATGTTGGAGAAGTTTTAAAAACAAAGTTAAAAATGTTTCAGACTATCTCAAAGTATCATTTGTATGAAACTAAATAACTTTTGTGGTAATGTTGGAGTAATGTTGGTGAAAAGTTGGTGAAAACTTTGCAAAACGATAAAGTAAGCAACAAATGAATCTGGCTAGAGTTTTATAAAGCTATTTTAAAATAATATTAGGGTTAAAATGGAGCTACATACGATAAACCTAACAATGAAGTAAAATAAAAACCATGTCTAGGCAATGCAAGCGATGCTAGGAATGAACTCTAAAAACAATCCTTAAATGAGCAAAATAAAAAGCAAGAAACTGTTTTCAAACTAACATTTGTGATAACATAAACTGGTTATCTAACCAGTTTAAAATAATGAATACCTAGTAAAAGCAATGACACTTTCTCTGATTTACCAATGCCAGAGCAGAAATCAAAAGTTCTACCATAAAATCGACCATCATCTACTTATCGTAATGCCAAAACTTTCAATGTTGGAAACCTTTTCATTGACTCACTGTTTATTGTCCGGATTGCTGAAATGCCTGGCCAGTCCATACACAGCTGCAATAGGAATCGGCGAGAACCAGCTGATGACTATAAACCAGCGCATCACAATCGTATCCTTGACAAAGACCTGGTGAATGGAAAAAAGATGGGTGCTGAGTGTGGGTAGTAAAGTCAGCAAGCGATTGCCCAACGCCACCACTGACATCTCAACTTGACTAAGAGAGAGAACAGCAGCAGCAGCAGCAGTTGGCCAAAGTTGCAATTTGCTTTCAGACAAATTGGTTTAGGGAAGGAAAAGAAAAGAAAAACCCATTGCCACGTCAACGGCTGGGCTGCAGCAAATCACATCTGTCATGCACAGAACTTGCCTCATAAAGAATGCTGACTTACACGGCAATTACAGAGATTTGCATTGGGGCAATGTGTTAGAAAGGAAAAACGATGACTTGAGGGCAACTTTCGGTTGACTTACCACAACGAGCACCAGGTGCAGATGCAGGCCCTCGCAAAACATCCAGAAATAGTTGACCAGCATGAAGTAGTGCACCACCAGGTGCAGGCCAATGCACCAGAGCTGTAAGTAACAGTAAGTTAGTTAGGCAATTGTCTACATAGAGGAAAATGATATGATATTCTTAAGGAATTTGAGATCTATTTTAGGGAATAGATGTTTAGTAGTTGTTGGGGTGTTTTATATAGTTAGTTGAAGCATTTTTTGGGTTAACAGTGAAGAAAAACTTGCTTAAAGGCTCTGTTGGAGTATCGTTGGTGTAGTTTTAACATAACCATTGGAAAATTGTTAAAAAAGTGTGACCATGCATTAATATTTACAGTATTTTAAAGAATTTTCGAGTTTAAATTAAAGTATAACTTCTCTTTTAACCCTAGAAATGTTAAATATTTCCATCTACTATCATTGCTGAGTTACATTTTTGTTATAACTTAACAATTTCTCTCTCTGCATCTTACCGGATTTTCGGTTATGGTTTCGTGTCGCTCCACAACCAAGCGGTACCATAAAATCCAGGCCACACAGGTGCATGCCAGCGAGGCGAATAGGTGCACATGGATTCGAATGCGGGTGCAGCGCAGGGATCTGTCAACAGGATATCCGCACGTCAGTAGCAGTAGCAGTAGGTAGTAGGTAGTAGGTAGTTAGCGACCCCAACCATGCGGTCGGTTGCAATGACAAACACTACTTACTTGAAGCCCAAGAAGATGATAATCGATATGAGCAGGGCCAGAAGGGAGAGGGCATAGCCCTTCACGTACAGTTCGTTGATGAACTTGCGAAACTGCAAGTGACAACTTTCTTGATTAATGTCCATGCTACTCCCCCGCCCCATACCCGAACAGTAGTACTTACCTCCAGGTCTTCGTGATCCACACAGTTGGTGTAATTGGACCAGGTCTGATTGGTCGCCGGATGACGGAACCAGGAGCCATTCTCCAGGCATCTATGAATGCGAAATGCTTACGATAATTATTACTGACTAAGTGCAGATGGGTGAGGAGTTTTCTTCTTTTCTGCTAACAAACCACTTGACAAAGCAAAAGTCACCCAACCAAGATGCAACTGAGAGCTCAGCTGGTGTTTGTTAAGTAGTGAGAAGGAACATTAGCAACTCGATTGGGGAGACATAAACTATACAAAGTTATTGAGGGGGGAACACTTAAGGAAACTGCTGGCTAGTAAATTGTTGAAGGAATTTTGCAAAATTTTAAATAATATTGGAAGTATTCAAGTCATTATGTTGGTTATTCATCGATATAAACGTAAATCCAACTTTTATGCATAAATATTTCTGCATTCTCTGGCATTAAAGCAAAAATTCCAAATAAGGAAGTAAATTACGAATATTACGAAATTTCTGAATTTATTTGACCAACAGAAATCATGCACTGAATGGAAATCCTATCCTTTACCCCGAAGGCCTTAATATTTTGTGGGATTTTAGGGATTTAACTCACGTCTTGTGGGCCAGAAATTTCTTGTTGAATCCTTCAACGAAATCGGGACAATATTGACTTAGCACAGTGCCCGCCGGTGTCCTTGGCCAGCAGAGATATCCGTCAAAGTCCAGGGGGCAAAAGAGCCGCCTATCCCGCTGATTTGTGGCCATTGTGGCACTGGAAACGGTGGCCATTAGCTCCTCCTGCTCTGCCAGCTTCTCGTCCACGTTTCGCATGTCAATGGTGCCCTCGTTCAGTGCGGCATTCTCCAGATATCGCGGCACCGTGCTAAAGTTCCCCTTTAAATCGTTTTCGGAGTCTGTGAACGGTGGGAAAAGTTGGTTTAATATTGGTTTATTTCAGGGAAAACAGATACATAGCTTAAGAATATTTGATAGATAAGTTTTTAAGATTAAACTTCTCTATATTTTGTATACTTTAAGATTTAAGGTCATGAAGTTCTAATATGCAAAAGTCATTGGGTTAAACCAACATTTTAAGTACAAATTTCCATTCCTAGTCTTATATTTCCATTTTCATCTTAACAAGTATTAATTTAATCCATTCAAAAGGAATCAAATGGGCTTTAATTTAATTTAATTTCGTGATTTTTTCTGCTTTTCTTACATTGGCATGTGGCAAATCACGTATCCGCCTGGTGGCCGCCACTCACCTGTTGCTGCTCCCAGCGAGAGTGATGAGTCCTCTGTATCGTTTGTGACATTCTGATATCGGTGGACGCACTCGGCATACAAATGCGTTAAAAATACGAGAAGATTATCCTGCGTTTGGGCCTGCGATGCCATTTCCACATTTTCCGACTCTGATTCCGAAGCCGTTGTCCCCACCATCGTGGGCGTTTCAATGTGGGTTACTCTTGTCATGGGTTAATGCACTGGAAAAAAGAAAAAAGTTTAGTATTTGTAAAAATCATATCAAATGGAACTCTCTAAGGGAAAGCTATAGCTAAGAATCTTCACAGAATCTTCGGGATTTTCTCTCAGTGCTTCGCGATAACGAAGGGAATTCGAGTCGCTTGTGCCTGGCCATTCGTGTGTGCATTTCTAATTTGGTTAGGCTTCAAAGAGTTGCCTGTCCCGGTTTGATATTCGTGGATGGGTTTCGTCTGCGGGGAAATGATGTCAAAGGAAATGGAATATGTACCCTCCTCCTCCTCCTAGGGACTAAAGGTCCTTTTGCTGTTGGGATTCACTGTCAATATTGTAGAGAACTAAACATCGTGTGCCGTCATCTTTCACCTCATCCCTTACATATGCTGTAAATCAGTTTATTGTCTAATTAATGACGATGCTTAACTTTGTGTGGCACTGAGTTTTTATTTACTTTTTTGTTTTAGCAACCATGGTTGGGGGAACTTAATTGCATTTCGTCGTTACAAGGAGAGACAAAGCAAAGCAAATGCCGCGGGGCAAAAACTCAAATGGAATGCATGCCACATCGATCGAATTGCAAGCAGGGCACACACACACACACACACGCGACTTTCTATATACATATATATTGTAGAGGAAAGCTGCTAAGGGATGAGCTGGAAAGTTCTTGCCTAACTTGGTTATATTTTTAATCAAAACTCATTTCACTTGATTGAGTTTCCACACACAGAATATGCCTGGGCTTCGTCACAAGAACAGTAAGAGAGGATTTTCCTCAGACTAAACTTTAATTTGCGGCATTAATTTATTACAAGACGGTGACAGGGTTTCCATCATGGAAATGGGCGCTGTTCTAAAACATTCTTGCATGTTATTTATTTATTTATTTTTGCAAGTGTCTTGGCCAGGCAATTAGTCGGAGGTAAGGCCAAGACAGGCAGCAGCAGCAGCAGGACGTTGTAAGGCCTTTGTTGGCGATCAATTCTAAATGCCAGCCAGCCAGACCCTCTTTCTTCTTCTATACTAAAGCACTAATGAGCATTAATTGCATTTACTGTCTCAATGACCTGCGTTTTCTTCCCCTCTCCTCCTTACCACCTCCTTCCTATCTCCTTCCCTTCAATGTAATTCATTGCAATATTCTTGCTTTATCATCGTTTTCCAAAGGAAGAATATTCTTATAATTGAAATGACATAGAAAACTCTTCAGGTTTTCCATTGTCATGCTAATCTGTGACAAAATCTATTAAGTACAGTGCCTGACATAAGTATTAAGTGCCATGGCTAGCTGTAATAGTGCTTAACTAGGTTTATGTTTTTATAGTTACATAGTTCTAAGGCCGTAGTTATGAGATTAAAACTGATAACATGATTGTTTTATCACAGAAGATGTTAAGTACAGTGCATGACATGGCTATAATGTGGCATAGTAACCCCGTAATTATGCTTACAAAGGATTATATTAGTGGGATTATGTAAAGTCTTAAGAAATTAGTTAGCATTTTGTACATAAATCTACAAAATATGTTTTAAGCTTTAATTTAATTTTCTTAAAAACGAAAATGATTTCCCATTGCAAACTCTTTAAAATCATTATCATTTCTCGGTTCTAATAAAACTTTGCTAAAAGCAAATAAACAGCTGGGTTTGGTCATAAAAAAAAAACAAGAAAATGCATTTTCTCCCCTCTGTCTTTGTTTTACGACTCCATGAGTTTGCCAAAAAATCTCCAGCAAAAAAAGCAGAAATCAAGATACCGGAAAATAGCAAAGTTTCCCCTACAAAGAAGCCCTTCAAGAAATTCGCCAGCATCTGCAACATTTTTCCGGCAAATTGTTTTGTTTAGCATAGTTTTGTTGATACTTGATACTTGATGAAAGAACAAGAAGAAGAACATGAAGAAGAAGATGAAGAAAGCCTTAAGAAAGGACAGGCGGAAGGGGTGGCGGGTGGTGGCAACTCATTTTGAAGTAGCCATAAAACACAAATAATTGGAAAACGTTTGCTTGCATAAATTATGCAAGAAAATTGAAATTTATTGTCAACAATAAGAGGGCAAGGGTAGGGGGAGAGCATGTTCTTGAGCCAAAAGGACCTCCTGCTGCATAGAGAGATACCCCCCCAAAAAAAATGGCCAATCAATAAGGGTTGGGGAGGTGGTAGCAAGGCAAAAACAACAACAAGCAGTGTCAGTAATTATATGTACACATGCTGAATATTGATGATGAATTGTTTTGTCTAGCAGGCCAGAAAAAAAAGAAGAAAGAAACAAATAAATGATATTAATAGAGAGAGAGAGAGGCGGAGGAGAAAAGCCGTCAATGCGGTTAATGATGCCAGGCGAAGCCTCCATCATTCTGCAGACCGGAAACGGAAATGCCATACACTCGCACACCCACACACACACACACATGTGTAATAATACCAGCATATTATTCGGCCATTCTTGCCGGATCAATTATAATAACAAATTACTTCATCCACTGTGAAGCCTGTCGTAGTCACCAAATGCAATTACACCCACGCTAAGGGAATGGTATCACGTATATCCTGTGGTTATGCCCTGGCAAGGATCTACTGGGGCATAAAAGTTGCCAACCTTGCGTATTATTGCACTCATTTCCTTATTTCCTGTTCTCGCTCAGCTTAGCCCAATCACTGTGTTTCAGTTTCTTCTTTTTCTTTTTTCCTTCTCTTGTTTGGAAAAACTTTTCCCATAAACCAAACCACAAAATTTGGTTTTCCTCCCCCCCAAGCGCGCCAAAAATCAAATTATTTGATTTCTACGCAAATATTTAATTCGATTCGTTTACCTAATTAAACTAGCGAAAATTAAGTCTACTGCTAATTATGCTAAATATTTGCTTTTGTGATTATGTTTTCTGTTTTTTTTTTGGAAATATTTTCACATAATTATTGCCAGTTTTTGATTATTTTCACACACACACACACACTGACTGCCTATAATTTATTCATATTCATCGTTTGCCACTGCCATTCATAGAAAATATAAACAATTGATTGTGTTTCAGTTTGCCTTTCATCACGTACAACAAAAAGACACCACAAAACATTCACAAAACACTGAAAAAAAAAACAGAAAACTAGAGTGCGCTTTTTTGTTATCGCTGTGGCTTGGAAAATATGCCGCTGTACTATAATTTTCGCACTGCTCGGTTCTGCGTTCTGTTGGGAAATGGTACGACATACGGCGTAAAGCGTCTGTGCCGAGGCTGCTGGCCAAGCCCCCCACATTTTCCACCCATTTTCGCGCCCATTCAACCGCAGCACACTGGGGAAAATATCCATTGGCCAGTTGTTAGAAAATTTTCAGCATTTAAATGCTTAAGAAAACATTAAGAAGGTAAATAAACAAATAATTTAGGGGAAAATCCAAACTGCCACTGGGCAAAAAATATAAATATTTGCTTTCAGTTTTAAGAAGTTTAATATTATTTTAGAAATGGAATTCTATTGGCAAAGGTGTTGATTTGAAAGCATTGTTCAGCCACTTCTGATTTTTGTACTACATTTGTTTTATGTTTGTTAATTTAAAGTATAATTAATTTGTTTATTTTTAAAAGTAAATTGCAGACAAATCATATGGGGTGAAGATAAACTTTTCTTTCTTCAAAATGTATGCTAAGAAGAATGGATCTCGGGTATCGTTCTTTTAGATTCTCATAATTTATAGAGCCATTAAGAATACTGGAAAACTTTTGATGGTCAAATGGAATATTTTTCTTTTATAAACAAGTTAAGGTATTCATTTTTGGCTGTATTTAGGAACTAAAAACTTCTAATTTAAGTTAGATTTTTTAATAAACATTAAGAATATTATTAAATACCCAAAATAAAGTCAAACTATTAATAACTATTTTCTCCCACTGCTCACAACCTGATGCTTGCCTAGACACTGCTTGCTAGCAACAAGTTGTTTTTTGGTGCACTGCTTGCATGCTTTGTATTCCAAGTAAATAGCTTATTGTGGGCGTATATAACAGTTTTGTCCCATAAGTGGGCGTGGTCCACACAGCTGGGACCCACAAATTGCTAAAGATTTGGTCTTTAGTTGAGCTGAATTTATTTAACCCAAATGGTCACGTTCTTTTTGTATAAACAAAGGGTTAAGGTTTTGTCTTTTTAAGGATTTTAAGAGGATATTTGAAAAGGTTTAAGAAACTTAGTATAACAATATTAAATTCTATTAAATTTAAGGAAAAATAAGTATAAATAAACAAAATACTTAACAGCAAAGATATAGTTTTGGGATCTGTTTAAAAATAAAACCCCACCTCGACTACAAAGAAACTGATGTTTGGTTTCACTTCCAAGAGTCATTGGATGCGACGATTGCATTTACGAACTTTTTTACTGTCCCCTTTAGTAAGCTTAAAGATTGAAATTAAATGAATATTTCGTTTCACTTCACTTCAATTCTCGATTCGATGTAAACTTTCGCCTCAAACTGCCATAAAATTTATTCCTGAATTTCTGATGTCCTTGCATAGCGAGAGCGAGCGGGTATAAATATTTGATGCCCTTCTCCGGACGTTCTTCTAACACAGCTAACACAGCCAACACAGGACTAAAATTGGCATCGACTTAGAATTGATAAAAAATTCCTAAACAAAATGTACAGGAAAATGTGTGCATATAAAATGTATTCTGCAATTAGCCCAGCAGTAGTAGTGTGAAAATTCCTGGATTTTACACACCAAAAACTAATACTCATGAAACTGAATTTTCCCCTGAGAGGGGGAAACTGCTTTGGCAATATAATTTTCTGTCCAGTGAAAAAAGAAAAACATGTGCGCTGGCGAATCTTTTTACACTTTCCCTTTATGCATGCAGGAAAATGGCTTGGCTTGTGAAAGTTTACCACAAGGCTGGCTTCCCACTTGGCTTACACTTTATAATTGTTTGTTTATGGCAAATTATTTCTTGGCTACTTGGCTGGCTTAACTGCAATTAGTTTATTGTTTTAAAATTAAAGTCAGCTGCGGCTTGTTAACATTATTTATGGCTCAAGAATTGGTTTGCATTTCAAGGTTGTAAATGTTTGGGCAATTAATTATATTTGAAGAGTTTATTGACCACGAAATGGGTAATGGCTTTAAGGGAAAACACAGACAGAAGTGCATTGGAAATCTGTCGTTGACTTCTATCAACTTTAATCAGGGCTAACCCAGCTCAGTTAAGAAATCACAATCTGGCGCCACAGCTGAGAGTAAACTAAAGTGTGGTAGTCAAAGACTTTAAACAGCGTCGGGGAAAAGACAACGTTTTTTTTGTTAGGTAATGCCGTAGTATTACTATGGCATAATGTCACCGCTCTTTGGCCGTCGCACGTTCCGGGTCGATAAAACCCGGAGAAACGGGGTTTAAAACAAAAAAAAAATAAATATATAATAATAATAAAAAAAAGAAAACACAGCTAAGAGTGATGTAAAGACCACAATCACCTGCACGTTCTAGACCCCCCATTTCTCTTGCTCGGTCGAGTCAGTGGGTCAAGTCACCATCCATAAAAGCGGGAATCTCCATGGTCAGAGACATCAGTTCCATCGGCAACATGTTCCACTCAAGGTCTCAATCTAAAACCAACTCCTCCTCCTACCTACTCCTGGCCGCCTTTGTCCTGGCCTTGGTTGGGGTTAAGGGTGACTACGATTGGTATAGCGATTATTCGGGCTCTGAGCTGGACTACATTTTTGCTGATGTGAACTACGATGCCGTCTGCCCACCGGGTGGTTATCCTGTCTGCTCCACCGATGGCTACCAATACCATCCATTCTCGAGCAAGTGCCGCCTGGACTCGCAGAACCTGAAGCTTTTGTTCGCCGGCAAGAAGGGTAAGTCCTGCCATTCTTTCTAGTTTCCTTCTTATATTTATAGAATCTTTCTTGATTTCCCAGAACTCATCCAAACGGATCTGAAGTACTGCCCCCCCTCGTATCCTGGCCAATCTTATGCTCCCGCTCCTCCTGCCCAGTCGTACTACCCCAAGAGTTCACCAGTTCAGAACTATGCTCCACCTCAGTACTCCTCATCTTCGGGTCAGAATTCCTATGCCTATGCCGCTGCCAGTGGTCCCTATGGCGCCAAGGCTGTGGCCGAGGCTCCTGGTCCTTATCCTGTTGCTTCTCCTTCTTACTCCGTTTCTTATCCTGCTGCTCCTGCTCCTGCTTCTTATGCCCCTCCGTCTCCAGCTAAGTATCCCTCTCCACCCTCTTCCTATCCCGTTTACTCCAAGGCTGTGCCCGCCTATGCTGCTGTTTATAGTTATGCTGGCACTACCAAGGCGCCATCTACCGGATCAACTACATCGTCGGCCACGAAAGCTACTACAAAGGCTAATAGATATCCTGGTTATCCAACCAAGTACCCTACAACCACAGTGGCTACGACTACGGCGGCTACGACTACTGCGGCTACGACAAAGGCAGCTACGACAACGGCGGCTACGACAAAGGCAGCTACGACAACGGCGGCTACGACTACTGCGGCAACCACTAAGGCGGCAACAACTACTACAGCAGCAACCACAAAGGCGGCAACAACTACCACAGCGGCAACCACTAAGGCGGCAACAACTACCAAAGCAGCAACCACTAAGGCAGCAACAACTACCACAGCAGCAACAACCACTAAGGCAGCAACAACGAAGGCGGCAACAACTACCACAGCAGCAACCACTAAGGCAGCAACGACAACTAATGCAGCAACGACGAAAGCGGCAACAACCACAACTGCAGCTACGACAACCACAGCAGCAACTACCACCACAGCAGCTACGACAACCACTGCAGCAACAACCACTAAAGCTCCTTAGGCTCCTTAGTTGCAACCACCTAAAGAACCTAACAGATCTGTAAACTGTCTAATTCCTACTTTCACCACCCCCACTCTAGAGCCTCTGAAAGCTAAATGAATCGATCGACACAGCCTAAGTAAAATATCTAAAACAACAACAACCCCTAACAACAACCACTTAAATATCAAAATCAAAGCAAAATCTTAATTCTCACAACAGCAATATGTAGAATGTTTCAAATTAGCCAAAAATAAAGTAGAAAAAAAGTAAAGAACATAAACAAATTCGAGTAGATAGCATATGGCTTTTGTTTTTTGGTAGGCACTGGGAAAAAGTTTGATTATTTTACAGATTTTCGAGGGTCATCAAAGGGAAATTAAAGAATTTTATTTAAAGTTTTAGATTAAAATATATTTTTCAAACTTTAATAGTTAAAATCACATAAATTTGTAGAGTTTTCAACTTGAAAACTTAAAACTGATGCTTAAAATCAAAGTAAAATAAATTCTACAAAAATGTCAAAACAGATTCCAACTAATTTTAAAAAAGAAAACCCTATTTTTCCCAGTGCCTCATACTTTTCTTATGATATATCTGTTATTTACCCATAAAATCTAAGATATGGCATTATAAAAAATTAGTTTATGCTTAATCTTTTCACCAAAAAAGAAACGTTGCCAATATTTTTTACTTTATGGCTTATATATATCTCTATTCTATGTGCTGTTGAACGCTGTTTGGCTGTGGGCGATGTGGGCGGCACTTATCAGCGCCTCTTTCGCCACACACAAGCGAACAGGTGTTTGGCATTGTTTGCCGTTTGCTGTTTACTGTTCGCTGCATAATTTTCGCTGCGGCTTAATAGATTTTTTTAAGCAGTTTTCCGCTTTTGTGCTCGCCCTTATCTTTTCACAATAAAACGGCATTAAAACCGGGTCGGAAATCGTTGGCGGAAGGGTCGAAACAATGGGCCACAATGGGTTTAGGTTGTAGAAGGGATTTTCTCGCCTACTTGTAGAGGGAAAAACGGAAACGGAAATTAACAAATGCCCCAGGCAGCACTTGGCATACCAAACAACAAGGACAACCCCGCCGACCGCCTAAAATAGCCATTTATATTCAAATTGTCTTAACTTGGCTCAGATTTTTCGTGCCCACGAGCTAACGTTCGTTTTTCTTCTTTTTTTTTCTGGGTTGACAGTATTTGTTTTTATTTTTTTTTTTATTTTTTTTACTGCCTTTGGGTGAGGGCAAAAGTTTAATGGGTAAATCTGTTTAATTAAATGATAAACATTTAATTTTCGGGCATCAAGTTGGCTTGGCAATACTTTCTTATATTTTTGGTTTGTTTTTTTGTTAAGTAAGAAGATGAAAGATAAGGTTAAAAGGGGTTTAATTTTATTAGTTAAATGGTGGCAAAGAGAAAGTTAAGCAAGAAAAGTAGATTTTTTGTTATAATTTTCTTGGAAATATTTTTAGTTATTTTGGAGAAAGAAAAGAAAGAGATTTTTTCTTTTAAGTAAGAAAGTGAAATAAATTAACCAATGAAGTGACCTTACCTTTTAGGTAAGTAAGTAAAACAAACTAACTTTAAAATATAAAAATAAATAAGGAAAATAAATGAATTTACCTTTTCCCTACTTAAGCTTTGCCTTAAAACAATTTTAATCTAACTCACACCAAGATCAAAAATAACATAAAAAAAGGCTAAAGATTAATTAACAGATTAAAAACTGACTGATAATTTATCAGCTAAAGCCTAGATAACCCTTTCTTAGTTTCATCTCTTTAGTTCAGCACTATATTTACAGGTGTTTCTCAGCTTAAAAGATAAACCTCTGGATTTATCATTCTGGCAGCATAAATCATTTTAAAGCTGGCGTCTTGTTGGTATGATAATTTCTACCCCCCGTCTCCTCTACCCACATCTGGGTAAAACATTTCCCAACTTGTGCATATTTCGTGTAAAATAATTTGTAAAATTTTCATTTATTTGATTTGAGTCAGCCAGCAGCTAGCTTCCCCCCTACAACACCCAGTAACTTGTGTTTTTCATTCGCTTTGCTTTGCTCATTAAAAGTTTTTCCACCGCCGCGACTAGAGAGTGCGAAAAGTGCTGGACTGGCAAAAAAGATTCGACACAATTCAATGAACTCTTTCTTTCATTTTTTGTCTTTTTTTTTTTTTTTGTTGTAGAAACTGGCGCCAGGCAAAAATGTAAAACGCTGAAATGAAACTTGAAAGACAGCTGCCCGTAAAACTCGCCCCTCTGAGCGTGCTGCAACTTTTGATAGCCAAGTTAGCAGATGGCAGGCAAGCAGTCCTCTATCTCCTAAGCATCCTAAGCCAATTATTGACATTCTCTGGCAGCTCGCATAAATCAAAATTTGCACAGCGCCCCTGCCCTAGTCCCCCCCTCCCCTATTCGTGGGAAAAACTTTGAGAGCAAAAAAAAATAAGGAAAAGCTTCAAGGAAGGAGATTAAATTGAAGGAGCTGGTACGGATCGGCCATACTTAAGCGGATTTAAATACGGCCAGGCTATTGGTGGGTCCATCGATAATGTGTTTCAGCAAGGGGATCAAGGGTATTGGATGAATCATGTATTAAGGGAATTTATTAGTAAGAAAACTGCTTAGATTTGGTATTTTAACATTAAAAGGTATTTAAGTGGGTTATTATATGGCTAATGGGTTAAGAAAAATATGGAATTTTAAAGGTTTTTTTTCTTAATTTTTTAATATTTAAGAAGTTAGGCTTCTTTTTTATTATATTTTTATTTAACTTTACTCGTAAATTGTTTTCTTTTAATTTATAAATCAATTATTAAAGATGTTTAAGTTGTTCTTAATATAAAATTTAATTTAAAATATTTTAAAACTCGAATTTTCTTAAGTAAAAATAAAATATTTGCCATCTTTGTTATATTTATATCGTAAATTTAATTTATAAATAAATTATTAAAGATGTTAAACTTCTTCTTTATATAAAATCAACTCTTAAATATTTTAAAATACAAATTTGTTTCAGTAAAAGTAAGACACTTGCCATCTTTGTTAGAAAAATATTGCCAAAAAATATTCTCATTTATGAATTAATTTAAAACCTCAATCCCTAAGCTCTTAAACTCCAACTAAAAACTAAACTAAAACCCAGAAAACAAAGCAATTTTCAAAACAAAATCAATCAAAAGTCAAAGATTATTGTTGTGGCAAATAAAAAGTGTAGTAAAAAGTATCTGCCAGTCGCGGCAGTTCAATAAATCAGAAAGCTTTCACTCTCTTCCGCTTCTCTCTTCCTTTCTTTTTTTTTTTAATAAATTTGAAGCGGGACAAGATTTGTGGTGGCTTAGTCGCGGGCAAATATTTTATTTAGATGCCGTAATGCCACGCCTCTTTCGCCGCATAAATCAAATACCGTTCCTTTTGATTTTCATCTTTTTGCTGTTTTTTTTTAGAAATATTTTTTCTGGCCGCTCTCGCCCTGTGTGCTCGAATTGATATTTATGGCCGTGAAATCGGCTTATAACATTACCCATTCCACCCTCCCCCAACCCAACCCAACCCAATATATCTTTTTCTATATATATACAAGCCTGCTTGTTTATAATTCAAACGAAAATCAGATCGCACTTAACGCTGGCGAGATGAGAACAATGTGTGTTGATTATTTTTATTGGATTTAATTGCCGTACCTGAACTTGGCCAAAATATCGGAGGCTAAAAGGTCTTTGCCGGAAGCTAAAAGGCAGCAGAAATCGAGAATATCGAATGAGATATATATATATAGGGGGAGGGGTGATATTATTATTTGATTTGGTTGGGGGAGTGCAGAGGCTAAAATGCGAATTCCATCAGAATAAACATTTTTTTTCCCTGCTCAAAATTTATTGGCCCGGAGGAATCAGGGGAAAGAACTTTTCCACTTAACTGACAGCTAGCCAATCCAATATTCATAGATTTCCATTAATTAGCCACCTGACGACGATTAATGGGAATTAAGCTGCCTTAATCAGAGGTTTTAATAATTGCTATTATTTACTTTTTTTTTATATACAACTTTTGGTTTTTACACAAAGGAAGGATCAAGCCATTTAATTAATTGGGAATTTATACTCTCTTTTTATAGGGTATCTCTAGAGTCGATTTAATTTTTATTAAATTTATTTCTGTCGACAGAAAGACATCCGTCACTCAATTTTGATTAATTTCAAGTTTTCGTTTGGGCATTCGCCTAGCTTAAAATACAAGCAAAATGGAAAATGAGGAAAAGATAAATGAAGCATTAATAATACCAATGAGCTGTTTGCTTTTTAAATAACTTTTTGTGGGGAGATGTGGGGTTTGGGGTTTGGGGTGTTGGAAAATTAAGGGGAAATTTTAGGTAACAAAAAGGCAAGGCTGTTTGTAGTTTTTTTTTGTGGCTTTAAAATTGGAAATTTACTTTTATTTTTAATATTAGGTTGTAAAAAAAGTCTTGCGGTATTTTCGCTAGTTGGGGCTGAAAGCGCGTAGTTCTTGTTTTATTCGTCGCATCAGGTCGTACTATACCTTTTTGGAAAGCATTTCACGCGCTAACACGCGTTTGATTGATTGTCTTTTCTTTTAAGTCGTTCTTGAGTTATAGCGTCGAAATCATGGAGCAAAATAAAGAGAAAATAGGGCATATTTTACAGTACTACTACGATAAAGGCAAAAATGCATCTCAAGCCGCCAATAAAATTTGTGCAGTTTATGGACCCGATACAGTTTCCATTTCCACAGCACAACGATGGGATCAACGTTTTCGTTCTGGTGTAGAGGTGGTCGAAGATGCGCCACGCTCCGAGTTTTTTGCCAATAGGGAAGCGAGCTTCTATGAGAGGTTGGCATTATGAAGTTGGCATCTCGTTGGGAACGCATTATTGTAACCAATTTTATGCCGCAAGACTTTTTTGACAACCTAATATTTAAGTTTAAGGGAAATCAAAACAGGGTAGTGAGAAGCTGTTGGGGTATCAATTTTTGTTATTAATTTAAACTAAAAGTTAAATCCCTAAATATCTTCCTACTTTACCCTCCAGTTCCTGTAAAACCTTTCAGAATTAACTCCTTAAAGCCTATTTAGTATTAAAAATTAAATAATATATTTTTTTTTCTTATAAATATCATATTTAAATTCATTATTCCAGTTTGATGCATATGAAACTGCGTTTTACTTTATTATTAATTATCGGTAATAATAGTTATCGATAAATTTTTCGTAAAATTTTTCTTAGCAATATTTTTTTCTAATAATGAAAATGTCGAGTTTTATAACCACAAACCATTACGATTTCTGCTTTCTTTTAAAAACTTCTTTTAAAAACTGCCGTGGAAGCCCAAAAAAATGCTTGTGGAAGCTGACGGTGTGCATGCCCTTAGCATTAGAAGTTGCCAAGCCTGGTTTAAGATCTTCCGAAGCTTTGAATTTGAAGTTGAGAAGAGCGTGGTAAACCACCAAACAAGTTTCAGGACACTGAATTGAAGGCGTTGCTTGATCAGGACGATGGCCAAACCAGAGCACCGTTGAAAGTCGCCTCAAAGCCATGGGAAAAGGTTGGGTTAAAGGTCGGCAGATAAAGTAAAACACAGTTTCATATGCATATACCTATGTAAAGACAACTTCGTTATGATATAAAAATTCTCGAAAATTAAACCCATCCATTTCATAGAACAAAATCCTTGCCAACACCCAACGCCAACCCTATTTTTTTTTACAAATTTTTTAATGACCTCAAATAACCCACTTTATTAACTGCCATTAACTATCACATCACCTTTAGACAGGTATTATTTTAATATATTTATATACCTTCGGTGACATTAGCCGATGGCCAAACATTTGTTTATTCAGCTCAGCGAATATTGGTTATTAATGGCCTGGTCAGGCCGGGTCAGGCCAGTGATATTGCGGCTGCTGCAATGCTGATGCCACGCCGTATTAAATTATTCAAATGTCCAAGGCTAATGGACAAAAAACAGAGAGAGAGAAAGAGAAGAGTCTCCTCCACCACCATTGAATATGTTTGTTTGCAAAATTAATCAAAAGCGCAACTGACAGCTCAGGGAGCGTCGCAAGGAAAATAAATTAAAAATACATAAAGCGCTCAATTACGAAATTTGGTACATTTAATTTGTAAGCAAGAAAACTGGGAAAAACCCAAAAAAAAAAACATAAAAAAAAAAACACCCAATAGAAACGCAGTGCTGGCCAGCAACAGCAGAAAAAAAGACACTGTGGCAGTGGCAATGAAAATGGAATCCAATTTCCATGCCAGTTTTTTGTGCCATTTTCTTTTTCCTGCTTCTGTTGTTGTTGTTTTTTGTGTGTATTTTTTTTTTGTTTTGTTTTTTTTTTTTCCTGCCTTCAGTTGTCTGCCATTCCGGAGGCAATATAAAAATTTAATATTCGCCCAGAAGTCGGCTGCAATAAAATGCTTAACAGAATGTAGTGTAGTGCCACACCGCGCAAGTAACTTCAATTTGGAATCATAAACCAAGATCCAAGTGCCTCGGTCAGCCTACCAACAACCAGCACCACCCCCAGAAGAAATTATGTTGTAAAAGTGCCGAAAAACACAAGCAAATGGCGACATTTGAGATCCCATTTCCCTCCCCCCCCCTCCAATGTTCCTTGCGGCCAACAGACATAGAAAAGACAGACAGTCGCCGGCTCATTAGACGAGCCTTTTACGCTCAGTCCAGTGGGGTCAGCTTTAAGAGTGGAGGAAAAATATGCCCGGAAAATGTATAGAGGCCATAGGGGTGGTCGTATACCATAGGGGTGAGCAGCCATAGGGGTGTACTATCCAAAATAAGCCAGAGCCGAACAAAAGCATATGCAAACTATGGGTCCTTCTTGGCCAAAATCGGGCATAACTTATTTGCAGGCTTATCGAATGACAGCCAAAAGTGGAATTGTGGAAAACCAAAGAGGAAATCCTTGTGTGTTTTTCATTTCTTTTGCCACTAAGAGAGAGAGTTTTTTTATTTAAATTATATTATTAGAAATGGTTAGAGATTGGCTTAGGTAAGAAAGCAGAATTAAAGGAAAAGGCAGTTCTGTGAGATTTTTAATGTTCATCTAAGAAAACAAGCCATGAAAACACCTTTAAAAAGGGAAACTTTCTTGCGATTTGTTTGGCAGAATTTTAAAGAAGGGAAAAAAACAAAAACATTCTGTCAAAAACTAAGATTTATTCCAACATCTATCAGATGGAAACTTCAAAAATGTTCTACAAGAGAATGAGAAAATTTTAAGGAAAATTCTAACATCTATCGGATGGAAACTTCAAGAGGAGAAAGACAAGAGTTTTAAGGAAAATTCCAGTTTTCCATTACAAGACTTATTTTCCCTATAAAATATCACAATAAACTATTGGAATTTCCAGAAAATATTCAAAGACAACTCCCAATTTTAATTGGCCTGTCCATTGCGGTGTAAAACATTAGTTAAGTGAAACATCAGTTAGAATTTTCGTGGCCGGCCATGTCGACACTTGTTAGGCCCTTAATGAAGAACCTGTCATCAATGTATTTGCGGTTGAACGCGACTCCTTTTGCCCTGGCTTGTCAGCCAGTCACCTAGTCAGCCAGTCAGCTAGGCAGGCAGCCTGTCATGTACACAAGTGTCTACCCCTGCCCCCTTACCACAACCGCCTATCATTTATCCCGCGTCATTTAATGCCCTTTGACCCCCTTCTTCGCCCCCAGACACCACAAATGTTTGCGTGAGTTGGTGTGAGCCATGTAAACATGGCCACCAACTAATGAGACCTCGTTTAGCAGCTGTAGGTATTCCTCCAGCCCAACAGCGGCGATCCCTCAAAGTGGAGAAAATTTAAATAAATAAAAAAAAGGAAAACAAACAACTGAGGTGAGAAATTAAATGGGTGTAAGCTGAAAGTACCAAAGGATTTCATAAGTCCCTGGCGAAAATTAAAAACCAATTGCTGAGATGAAAGATGTGAGTTGGTAAAAGTTTAAGGGAAGAAGTAGTGGAAAAAACGGAGGTTTCTTAATAGAAATTAGAGTACAGAAATATGAATTTCAAAACCCAAAATCTTGTCAACTAAAACACGTTAACACCACACATTCGGGAACTACTTAGCCCAGACTAATGTCTGTCTGTCGCCGGAAAGCGAGCGGCAAAGATGTCTTGAGACTCGTATGGGCTAGATGGGAAATTGAAATGGAAATGAAAATGAAAATGAAAATGGAACTTGGAAACCATCGAAGTTCCCGGCAGCAATGGCAGCACATAAATCAGCTGGCAGCGCTTCGTGCATAACTTATTGCACACATTGGGGGCAGCAGACAGCCAGCTATATTGCAATTGTTTTCTTGTCTTCCCTCACAACAATCGCCCCGTCATTGCGGGAATTTGTATTGGGTCTTAGCCTTAAGCCAGACCAGCAGTCAGTAACAAATACCCATATCCTAACGTTTATGTACTATATATATGTGTGTGTGTGTGCCGCAAGGATGCTTTGCAGCGCATTGCTAATTGAATCAGAAACCGCAGCATGAAATCAGCAAACAAACGGAATGGCCAGCAGCCTACGCGGCGTATGCGCAATGTAAAATTGAAAAAGGGACTGCTTTAGAGCCTAGGAAAAAGGATTGGCTGACCAGATTGATAAATCCCCAAGCGGGAATGCCTTTGACATAAAAAAAACCAGCATACATTTATGCGATTCCTGAATAAATCATTTCGTTTGCAGTGACATTTTAGGGAGCGTTTTTTTTTTGTTTTTTGTCAAACCAAAATAAATACAGGATACTGTGTGGGCACATTTGTGTGTTTGTGTTAGATTTTCGGGCATGACAGGATGTTTTTTTTTTTTTGTTATCCCGGAATCCATGGCGTATGAGCAATATGTGTCGCACGTAAAATAAACAATATTCTCGGGCACAGCGCGAAAGCCACAGGAATTAGCGCGTGCAATTAAATGTTATTTAATGTTCTCTGTTTACCTTATCGGCGGGGTGCCTGTTTCTTTTTTTTTTTTTTTGGATCGAAGTTCACGTCTCGTTTTTGGCGCCTCAATTGCCGAAAACGATCGAACGATTTGCCGAACAAAAATGCGCCAAAAACGAAGAAAAACAAAAAACAAATCACAAAACTCGAAAACAGCAAATTTGTAAGGCAGATTCGGGAATCCGCGACCGTTGTGTTCGCCACAGCAACCGGTTGGCAAGTGAATCGAAGATTCCAAAACGATGCAAAGGAAACCGTCGCCAAGGATTCAAATGGGCAAGCAGTTCAGGTTTTCGACTGCTTGCCAGAAAACTGTTATATGGAATATTTATATTCGGTTTGGCTGAATATTTTTTAGCAGACAAAACAAAAATTTAAGCCTGTGAGTTGGTTATTTTCTTAATCCTAAATTATTTTAGGACTTTCAAAAGAAAAACCCAATTTTACTCATGATTTGGTTTATAAAAGCGTGGTTTATCTTAAAGACTTGCTTTAAGGTTACAGTTTCTAACTTAACTTAATAACTTTCTATTTTCCCAGAAAAGAGTTCTTAGTAAGGTCTTAAAACCTAATATATTACTGATTAATAACGAGAAGAGCAATCAATTTTGAATAAAAACAACAACAAACTTCAGTGAGAAATAGACAAGACTTGACAGCAAATTGAAAACATTCTACTCAAAATATACCCCAACAAGTTTCTATCCAATTCTCCAACCAAACACGCGTACTTTCAACTGCTTAGCAGAGCTTTTAGTGGAAGCAGTGCGTGTTGCCAGAGCATCACAAGCAGTACATAGCCGTTCAAGACAAGCAGTGCTTTGAAGTTGAGATTGCGTGGTTTTTTTTTGGTTTGTTTGAAAATGTTTTCTTTGTACTCTGATCCGAGAATAAAGGGGGGACGAGTCAATATCTGAGCCACGGCCAGGCAACCGAGACGAGACCAGAGAAAGAGAATCCGAGTAGGGGTTTTCTTATATATACATAATTCTTTTTTCTTTTTGGATTTCTGGCGGTACTTACAATGGAAATGGAGCTCTGGCACGTAGAATTCCGATAGACAGACGCCCGTCTGGGTGTTCTTATGTGTAGACATTGTTGTTTTTCCAGAGATTTACCTAAAAGAAGAGACAGTTAGTTGTATAAATAGTTGTCAAAGGGTAAGGTGGAGTCAACAGTTACACGTCAACCTTCGAAATGTGGAGACTATTTACTATTATTGTCCTATTCTCAGCTTTGAGTTTCTCCCAAGGTCAACGGGAGAACTACCCGGGATATCTACCGCCTAGAGATGTTCCAAGGTTTAGCCAACGACCCTGTGGTCCCAGTGTCTGTGCCAAGAGCGGTCTCTGTTATCGCAGCTTCGACAGCGTTTGCGATCTAAACGATTATAATGTAAAGATGATATTTAGTGGCCAAGAAGGTAATATTTCTGAAAATTTAGAGAAATTTAATATTTGATATTTTATGTTTGTAATTTAACAGAATTCTATTTGACGGACCTCATCTATTGCCAAGAACCCCCACCGCGTCCGAAGATTGTAGATGTGGGCTACTTTTATAATCATCGGAGCTTATTGGTTGGCCAATCGCCTCCCTCGCCTTATGCATTGCCCCTTCCCAGGCCCCGAAATCCTTATAACCCAGAGTATATCGGACGTTACAAGCCAGATTCTCACGGACAAGTAGTGGATTATGTTCTTCCCTATCCGGTATGGACTTTTAAGCCACCTCAAGCACCACCAAGAAGGCCTCCTGTTAGTTATAGGCCTCCCTATTGGTACTATCCTACCCCGCGGCCCAAACCAACTAGGCGACCTTGTTATGAGACGACAAAAAGCACCACCACAGCTCCTACATCAACAAAAACACCAGAATCTTCAACGACCACAACCACAGTTAAGCCATCTACAACGACCACAACAACAACAACTGAAGCGTCTACCACAACAACAAGCACTGAAGCTTCCACAACGACAACCACCGAAAGAACAACGTCAACTACAGAAGCAACCACTACAATATTAACTACAACTCCTGAAGCAACGACGACAACTACTAAACCAACAACAACTCCTGAACCAACAACCACTGAATCTACAACAACGACTCGGCCAACAACGACAACAGAATCCCCAACAACCACAGACCCATCAACAACAACAACCGTAGACCCTTCCACAACGACGTCATCAGATCCCATCACGACAACAACATCAGAATCTTCCACAACAGCAGATCCCGTAACAACAACAACCACAGAGCTGGCTACAACGACAACAACGGAGTCATCAACAACTACACAATCATTCACTACGACCACATCACCAGATACTACGACGACAACAACAGAATCTTCCACTACAGCGGATCCTGTGACAACAACGACCACAGAGTCCACTACAACGACAATAACAACAGACCCATCGACAACTACAGAATCTCCGCAAACAACAACAACTAATACTTCCACAACAGCACCTTCAGATCCTTCTACAACAAAAGCCACAGATTCTTCTACGTCGACAGCTACAGATCCCATAACGACCACTACTGCAGAATCTTCCACAACAACATCTGCTGATCCCTCAACATCAACAACCAAAGAGTCTTCGACAACAACAACCACAGAGTCTTCTACAACAACAACCATAGAGTCTTCGACATCAACAACCACAGTGTCTTCTACTACGACAACTGAAGCTTCCACGACGACGACAACAGATCCTACCACAACAACAACCACAGATTCTTCTACAACGACAACAACAGAACCGACAACGACAACTACTACAGATCCAGCGACGACGACAACAACAGAGGCTTCTACTACAACAACCACTGAAGCTTCTACAACCACTACTGCCACAGCTGTAAGTAGAAAGTGAGTGATCTTAAATCAGAATAGATATATCAACAATTTTCTTCACAGACCAATCCCTTAACTATTGAGGTTCGAAACGCAGACGGCCGGCTAGTAGACTTCGATATGGCTGCCTTGAATGTGAATCCAGAAACGGGAGAGCCAGACTGCACGGAGGTGACCAATGTCCTGATAACCACAGGATCAAGGATTGTCTTCCAGTTCAGCGGCTGCATTGTGGCAAGGACTTCCAGCAGTTCTACTACTGAAGCAACCACCACAACAACCTCAACCTCTACGACAGCTCCAACAACAACCCAGGAACCCCCATACTATCACTGGTACGGTGGTTCAGCAGCCTACGCCCAATCTCATGTCATATATACCTACTAGTTGGCCATCATTATTTAGGATCTAATAAAGAAAATCTGATGCTTTTAGAGACCCAAACTTGGCTTGAATTTATAGACTGCGAAAAATGTAATACGCGGATTGGTATTTCATTTAAGCCAATGGATCACGTTTCTATTTTTATTCGAATTTTTAAAAAAACAAACAAAAAAGAAACGGCATTAGAGTCTAGTAATTATATCAATGGAAACGTGATCTCCGATGGTTGACGGAGTGCCACACGTGAACTACAAACTGCCTTTCCAGCGATCGACAAAATCAAGTTCAAGTTCTCAGCGCTATTAAGAATACGAATATCTGCTGACTCATGGGTTAGCTCATTTCTTTTCGACCGAAGAATTGCAGACAAATTCACATGACTCAAGGTTGAGCTAAGCCAACGCGATGATAACGGGCCAATAAAATTTCATAATGGAGTGCAAGAGAGAATTGAAAGTGGGAGAAGAGGCGTCTGCTGCTTGCCGATTGATATGGAATTATGAAAATAATAATAATATTATAATTAATTATGACAGAAACAGGCTACACAACACGTACACGTACATTGCAACAGTATGAGAGCACCGAGTGTGTTAGGACTGTGGGACAACGTATATAAACTGAAATCGATGGAACTCACGGCATAGTCACTTTCGAATCGTTCTCAAAATGACAGCTTTCTTACAACCAACAATTGGATTTGCCCTCCTCCTTGCGGCATTTCAGGTTCATGCCTGGGAATATGGAGTTCCTTACTATCCGGCACCGCACTATTTCGATCAACAGCAGCCCTATGATTACCCCTGCCCACCATCGGGTCCTGAGAGTCTAGTTTGTGCCAGTGCCCCCGGTGCCCAGCCATCTACCTTTCCGAGTCCCTGCGAAGTTCAACGTTTCCGAGCCCTAACTGGTATCAGTAAGTATTTCCCTTATATATATCTCGTAACTCGTTTAATTGCTAACTAAATCTCTCTCTTTAGACTGGGTCATTATCCATGAGAACAGATGCGAGACCTTGGAGGTCTGTCCGGATAACTGTCAGGATCAGTATAGTCCGGTGTGCGGAAGGTACAAGGATACGAGGCGAAACTATAGGAGCGAATGTGAACTGCAGCTGGTCAAGTGCCGGACAGGGCATCGTGAGTATTCTGCGGATATTTTATTAGATTCTTAGGAAGTTGAACTAAAAACCCATTAAGATGTTCAAACTTGATACAAAAAGAAAAATCTAACTAATAACTAACTGCTTAAAAACAAATATCACTTAAATGCGCAAATAACGCCTCATAAAGCAGCAAACAGCGTCACGTTTAAGCCAACAAATAGCCAGAACATACGTCAAAGCATGGCTTTTATAATTTATAAACAGTTTATCATAGCAGTTAGTCATAGCGACTTATAGAAGTTGAAAATCTTATATAAATCTCTTTATTTCAGCTTGGCGAAAACATCATGATGGCCCCTGTGAGAGCCGCTACCCAGTCGGCCAGTCACCTCGCGTTCAAAATTACAATCCCTATGCCATCAATCCCTATCAGCCGAACTATGGATCCTCTGGATCCCAAGGACCTTATGGATCTCAAGGACCTTATGGATCTCAGGGAGCTTATGGCGCTCCAGGACCCTATGGACCATACAATCCCTATGGACCGCAATCTCAGCCTCAGGGTTATGCACAAAGCTCGTTTGTCTCCCCAAAACCCGCATATGAGGCGCCTGTTTATCATCCTTATGAGATAACCTGGGAGAACCTGCCCACCGAGGCTGAGTACGCCGTTACCCCCAAAGCTTATTCGAATCCCACATACGAAACCACAACAACGGCTGCTTCTACATCGACTTCGACATCCACTTCCACTTCTACTTCCACATCCACTTCTACTTCTACTTCCACATCCACTTCCACTTCTACTTCTACAACTACTACACCAAAAACTACAACCACACCTCTACCAGAGAGTGACGACACCACGCCAAGTGTGCCTCAGAATCCCAGACAGAATATCAAAGTGAATGCAGTAGTCGAGGAACCAGCAAATAAAACCACTGAACAGCCATCTACGACACCTTCTCCGACTGAAGGCCCAACTACAGAGGAGACGACTGAAAAATCCACTGAGCCCAGTGTCACTACTCCGCCCTTAAAGAAATACATTACGACTGCCTCGCCACAGCATGCAACAACGACTCCTAGACCGTCAGGACCTTCTCTATCGATAAATGCCGTTCAAGAATCTACCCAGAAACCTGAAGAGACGAAACCCAAGTCGACCCATCCATCGTATCCAACCTATCCGTCTTACAAGTCATCTCCAGTCTACAGCTCTACTGAAGCTCCTAAAGATACCACTCCGGTATCTGTGGACAAGGTCATCAAAGTCAATGCTGTCCAAGAAAGTACAAAGAAACCTGAAGAGACTACCGAGGCGGAAACTAGCTCTGAATCTACTTCCACGAAAGCTACACCAACTTACCCATCATATCCAACGTATCCATCTTCAAAAGTATACAAAACTTATCCACTATATGACTCCACTGAAACTCCTGAGGTTGAGGAAACTACTCCGGTGATTTTAGACAAGGTTATCAAAGTAAATGCAGTTGCAGAAAGCACTGAAAAGGAAGAGGAAGAGACTACTGAGGTGGATTCCACTACCAAAGCGGCACCTACTTACCCATCATATCCCACGTATCCATCCTCCAGTGTCTACAAAAAGTATTCAGTCTATGGCTCTACTGAAGCTCCTAAAGAAGAGGAATCGACTCCGGTTTCGCTGGAAAAGGTCATCAAAGTAAACGCCGTCGCAGAAAGTACTGAAAAGAGCGATGACACAACTCAGCCGGAGAGTAGTTCGGAATCTACTTCTACGAAGGCGTCACCTACTTACCCATCATATCCCACGTATCCATCCTCCAGTGTCTACAAAAAGTATCCAGTCTATGGCTCTACAGAAGCTCCTAAAGAAGAGGGATCGACAACGGTTTCTCTGGACAAGGTCATCAAAGTAAACGCCGTCCAAGAAAGTACTGAAGAGAACGAAGAAAACACAACTCAGCCGGAGACTAGCTCCGAATCGAGCTCTACAAAAGCATCGCCTACTTACCCGTCATATCCGACATATCCAACCGCGGGTATCTACCCAAGTTATCCAGTCTATGGCTCTACTGAAGGTCCCAAAGATGAGAATTCGACTCCAGTATCTCTAGAAAGAGTAATTAAAGTAAATGCAGTTGAAGGAAGTACGGAAAACGAACAAGAAGAGACTAGTGAGGCAGAGGCTACTGAGGCGGAGACTACTGAGGCAGAGACTACTGAGGCGGAGACCACCTCTGAAGCTAGCACTACTAAAGCCCCACCAACTTACCCATCATATCCCACTTATCCCTCTTCAGAAGTCTATAACACCTATCCCGTTTATAGTTCCACTGAGACTTCAGATGACGATGATACAGAAGACGAGGAGTCCACTAAAGAATCTTTGGATAGAGCTATTAAGATAAACGCAGTCTCTGATCCCATAACCGCAACGTCTCCAACACCCAGTCAGATCACCACTGCTCCTTCGGTGACCACCACTGAAGTGGGAGAAGATAGTGCATCCAATAGCACGACGACTGAATCGGAGAGAGAGATTCCAGAGATTGTGAGGACAGAAAGTAAGAATGGAACGCAGGTGAATTTGGAGGTGACCTGCAAACGAGAATCAAAGAAACTTAAATTGGATACGACAAGCAACGACAACAGGAGTAACATATATTTCATATTTTTGGGTTGTTAAACAAATTGAATACTTCATTAGTTACCAGATAATTGTTCTTAAAAGTTGAAAATTTCAAATGTTAAGTTTAAAAAATAACACGTAAATTGTTGAGTTTAAAAGTTCTTCTTTGGCTTTCCATTTTCAATTCAAACGTTAAGATTTCGTGTTTCATTACGCGCTTGGAAAATATCAAGGTGTAAATGAACATTGTAGTTTATCTTGAGATCCGAACGATTATCCATCAGGGACTCTAGACTTTCTATACCCCTGATGCGATTAATGTCATTGCCTTCATCTTCCGGTGGCACGAATTGAAACGGTTTGGCTACCACGTTAGCTAGTCTCCTTCTATATTCCTTTTCTTCCTTTTCCCTAATGATGTCCCTTCGGCGATGTTTCAGGTCACGAAGTACAGCCAAATTCCGAAACCACAGTAGCACCTCGTTCTTCATATTATCGTTTTGGTACTTTAATGGCCGACCAATAGTTTCCAATTCATCTTCAATGGGGCATTCGTTGATCTCGATCGAGTTGGTTTCTGTCACCTGCTTATCACTCTCCTTCGGCATGTATTTCGGTTCAGTGGTCAAAACCTCAGGGCACGTCATAATCAATCCATAAAGGAAAGTCAGCTGCGTTACAGTTCAGAGTTAAGATTCTTCGGATTGCTTTCTTTTTTCTTAAAGTTTTCTTACCAATAATTTTAAGAACTTCATGTTTTATTTTCCTTTGTATTTAATTCTTGTTCTGATCTGTTGAAAGTCCCTAAGGGAAGTGAAAATCTTTTCGAAATTCAAGCAAAGGCCTTCTTTAGTAAAAGAGCTAACTGGCTGATCTGCTTTTGACTTGTCGAACTGAACCCGGAATAGGTAGAAAATTATCCAAATATCTTAATTTCTGCGATTTTTTATTGCTCATCCTAAACTGCTTTATAAATAGTTTCAATAAATATTAAGTTACTGATTTCTTAGGTAGTTCAAAATTGTTTTCAAGGGGCCAGGGATTGTGGAGTTGTGGAAGATTCACGAGTGGTGCTGCTCACGTAGGTTATGGCCTCCGAATTCTCCGTTGTGGTTTTGTAACTAAACTCAGTGGTGCTGGGCAGCATTGTCGTCGAGTAGGTCCTAGTAGTGGTGGTGGTGGCTGGAAGTGTAGTGATCCTTGATGCCATGGTAGTGGGTGTAGGTGTGGTTGTTGAGGTGGTAGTAGTGGTGGTGGTGCTACTGCTCGGGGTATAGGGCTCTGTAACCCGACCCACTTCTGGCAAAAACATCGATAGCGAGGAGTCGGTTATCTCTCCATAATCATGACCCACATCGGGAATATTGTAAACATTATAGGCATCCACGGCTCGGGAAACGGAGACCATGGGATTGGCGAGGTTCGTTAGTTGTCGGAATTGCATGGGCGAAGGACTAGTGCTAGTAAGCTTCGTTGGCCTCATTCTTGGTGTTGTGGTGATTCTTGTGGTTGTGGTTGATATAGCTCTGGGAGTTGCCGGAGAGGTGCTCCAAGGCGCTGGAGTAGCCAGCATTATGTATACTTTCTTTGGGACATTGGCAAACTTGGAAATGGAGGGAGCGGCTGCGGCTGTGGGACGCTTCTTTTTGTTGCGACGCAGCTTCTTCTTGCGTCCACTTTTGGTTGGAGTTTGGCAGGGACCAGAATGAAGGATTCGCAGGACTAAGGAGTCGGAGGGAGCAAGGAAGAGGTTAGGATATGCAGAATTTCCTGATTCTTTTGAGTTTTGTTTACTTCTTAATCTATTTTTGTTAGTTATCATAATTATCGATAAATATATCGAAAATATCTCGATAATTCTAGTTAGTATAATAACTTAAAAACTTACCCTGTCTCGTGTGGCATTCCCGTCGTCGCATCTCGCATTCGTTGCTAAAAGTTTGGGGTACAGCTCCACCGATCTCGGCCAGCGCGCAAACTGGTCGCTCCACTTTGGTGCACTTCATCGTCTGGCATGTGGGCAGGCAGCGCTCCATCTCCGTAGGCTCAAGCTCTGCAAGAAAGGAATCACTCAGGCAAATATAGAGTTAGTTTATGATCTTAAATGGCATTTCGCTACCAACTCACCAGTTCCATATTGGAAAAGCAACTTCATGTTGGCTGCCTCCAGGCGACAGTTGTTCTCAAAGTAGAAGTTATCGGTTCCATTGGTGGCACACACAGGCACTCCGCCTGGCTGGCAATTTGGCTGATAGTCCACATACTGAATTTGCATGGGACCCAGACCCTTGTGATCCTTATCATCTGCATCCTGACCAATACCCGCCTCGCCCAGGATCTTGGCATACTGATCACTCGTATAATGAGGATCACCCATATGCCAGTTGGCAATGGGTGAGTACTTCTGGGCCACTACTCCACAGCCAAGGATACCAAGGAATTGAAGGAGGATTAGTTTCATGGTTATAGCTTTAATGCTGCTGACTTTCCGATTCTGCTGCGACTGCATCTCGAGTTGCTACTGACCTTTGTAGATCGAGTTCGCAAGCTTTATAGTAAAGCTCATGGGAATTATCAACTGAGGGCGCTGCATTTTTCCACTGACGTTGCTTTAATCGCATATTTTCTTCTGCCCATTCGATAAGCACCCACTGCGCAGCAGGTGGCTCACCCTCTGCAGAACCATTCATAAGTGCTTATCAGTCTTTGAACTGTGGGTCATTCACGTGTTTTTTTTATCGCAATCTGAGGTCGTGTAATGGTTATCTATTAACAAAAGAAAATCAAGTTATATCATTATTAATCATTTATTTGAAGAAAACTTAGAGGAAATTAGCGAAATTTGCTTTTTGGCCCTGCAAAATGTGTAATATTAGTTCTAAAATTGTTCTAATTTAAAGTTTTACCGTAGATTTAGTTTACAACTTTAATTTAGCTTTGGTGGTTAAGCCGTTTAACTTTTGTATTGAGTAAAAGTAAGGAAGGAAAAGCTTTTAAGTTCAAAAGCCTGATGGGCTTAAAAAGGATATAAAAGCTAAGAGGGAGCTTATGCTGTCGCTTGGACAGGACTTTATCAAGTTTATAAGTTTTAAGTTAGAAAGTTACTTACTAGCTTTAAAGCTTCAAATAAATATTAGGTTTTATATTTTTTGGAAAGCTAAAATACTAAAATCAGTGATGTCCTTAAAAATATATATATATATATGAAGGAGTTAAGTATATATATTTATTAATAAATAACTTTCAAAGTCATAAAGTTGTAAGCACATTTCCTGATTAAATTTATGCAGAAAAGATTTGAATATTTCTAAAAATATTTTAAATTAAGAACTAGTCTTACCTGAAAAACACAAAATAATTCCCAATTAACAAAGATAAACAGAAAAAAATAGAGTTTTTATCTTGCCGATTCCAAAAACACTTAAAGATAACCTTCCCACTGCTTACTAAGCCCAACAAAGTGCATAATTTTGCAAGAAACTGTAAGCTCACTTACGCCCCCCACGAAACGTACAGACAATGTAAATCAAAAATACTTATTTCTATCAAAAGAAATATATATTTTATGCAGAGAAATGTAAGAGAAAGTCCTTGGCAACGAATCCTGGTCTCCTTCCATCTCCATTCCAACCAAAAATCCACGCCACGCATATTCAGATGTGGCACAAAGTTTAGAGCGTCAACAAAGAGCCAACTTATTTTTTGGGGCAAGTTTATTGCTTTGCCGTTATTGAAATTGAAAGAGCAAGGGCGTCTGTCCGATCTGCCCCGCCTCCCTGTCCATGCCCGTCTCTTAACCAGCCCCCATTCTCTTTGAATGTCCTGCAACATCCTTCTCTCTCTCACTCCATACACTCACTCGAAGGGTAATCTGCATATGCTTATGTGTGCGGACCAGAAGATACAATTTATTAAACTCTCCTTACACACACACACACCATGCACACCATACACACACTCACATCTAAAAATGGGCAAAGCAAACAACAAAAGTTTCACATTGCCTTACAGGACGAAGGGTCCTGATACATTCAAATCCATTATGCGGTCGAACAATGAAGTGCTGTGGCACGGAAACAAACGAAACGAAAATACGGAAGTCATAGACCGGAAGCAGGAACAATGGCCAGAATGCAGTGAGAATGCAGGACCAAAAATCATGAAATTTCTGAATTCTGATTATTATAGAATTAATCTTCAAACTTTCAGAGCCATGGCACTTTGCAATCGGCTTAAGTTAAGTTATCGTCTAGGGAAGATCAATCGGGGTCACCTTTCTGCCAGGCAGGGAAATCTTGTAAATTGGTCAGGAAAAATGTTGGCCATGAGAATAGTTTGAATTGAGATCTGAATGTATTGAAAGGACAAACTATTTGAGATATAGAATGTTGAAATCGGAGACCAATTGAGAAAGTTATGAGACTTCGAAGACATTTTCGGGGTCACCTTTTTGCTAGGCATTGAAATCTTTGAAATGAGAATGGAACTTTTAATAGAGTTTCAACATAAGCCTTTTGGAATTCCAATGGGTTTAGTTATAAACTAAAAAAATCCCAGTTTTGGGTCACCAAAAATCATAAATCCTAACCATACCTCTAAACTTCCTATAGAGAATGCCTAATTCGTTGCTATTTTCCCCCCTCTGTTGACTGTTGATTTTGCCATTCAGTTTGCTCACTGTTTTGGCCGCGCACAAAGAAAAGGGGGTGTGAAGGGCGGTCACAAAGGACAAACGGCTAAAGATATATGAGTGTTTGAGTGGGGGGTGGGTGTGTGGAGCAAACAATAAACAAACAAACAAGCTGCAAAAGTGTCACACATTCATCATACATTGTGTAATATGCCTGTGGACCTCCCTTCCCACGTTTCAGAATATCCAGCAGCCCCAACATCTCCTGCCGCTGCCCAACTCCTTTCCTGCTCACTGGTGACTGTCACCGGTTACTGGTCACCACTAGCCACTAGCCACTGGTTAGTGGCCATGGTACTTTTTTTTTCCTTTGCCAGATTCTGGAGCTGGAAACTCGAAAGAGAGATGGCGCTGGCAATGGTGGTGGCAAATAGACAAAGGCAGGCAATCGCGAGCTGTAGCCCGGGAGTCACACTAAGCGAAAAATCATTTGTTCTTTTCAAAAGTAATGTACTGAAAAAAAAGGGGTGTTAAACACTCAAAGGTTTTGTTAGGAAATTATAAAAAATTAAAGTTTAATAAGTAAAGAAACGGAATTTCTAGATTTTTAAAGAATTTGAAAAATGTTAAAATAATATTGACTGACATTTTCTTTAACTTTAGCTTTTCTCTCAGTGCACAAGAGTGAAGGCGTTCCATAGTGGGGAGGTGTGGCTGCAAAACTATGGAAAAAGTGCAAAAAGGTCAGTAAATTAATGTGCAAAACGGGCGCTGGATAAACTTTGAATGTATCGCACAAGTATGTGTGTTTGTGTAGGGCTTTTGGCATATGTGTATGTGTGTGTGTTGGTTTGTGTTTGTGTTTGTTTGGAAAAGCTGAAGGTGGGCGTGGCTGAGCCGCCCCCGGGCTGACCGTGAGAGAAAAGGGGTAAAAAGGGAAAGTCAGCGGTAGGGAGTTTGCTTTGAGTTACGGCCTCCTCTTTTCGCAAAAGGCACTCACACAAGTAAACAAACAAGCACACACACACACACACACACAGATACTCACACACACATAGAGCATTTTCATTTACACAAACACAAACAGTATACAGATTTTACCAAAGGGTTTTATCGAGAGGGTGGAGAGGGGAGGGGTGGTAAAAAACAAAAAAAAAAAACGAATGAAAAACAAAATAAATAGAACCGACAGCCGCATTTATTTTTCAATTTATGCGCCCAAGGATAATGATAAATTCGTTAGCTCCAACGGCATAAATTCACTTCCAGTTTTGGGGGAAGTTACCAGTTACCAGTTACCACCCACTAACACACCACCCATCAGTTAACCGCCCATCTACTAAATTAGATGTTAAATTTTCAACTAATAAATCAATATTTTAATAATTTATACAAATTGGGTATGTTCCTGAATTTTTCCCCTCATGATGATCGATTACCATACGACTCGACTCTCTTTTTTTTTTTTTTTAACTTAACTTAGGGGTTGTTCTTCTGCCTCCAATTTTTCTGTTTAAGGTTTTTTGGTTGGGGTTTGGGTTTTATGTGATTATGATTATGATGTGCGGTTGTTGCTGGGCCACCACCCGGCTGACAGGGGAATATGCAATCTATGCGAAAACAAATTACTTTCAAATTAGTTTCCACAGGTGCGTTGAAACGAGTTGGCAATCCACCAAGGGACCCCCCATTCGTGGCTAAAAACTGTTGACGTTTCGCCAGTTTATTTAACAAAAAGTTTATCCAACTCCCTCCCACCATGAAACTTTTTCAAAATGATATGTTTTTAGAGAGCAAGCTAATTCATTCAGGAGTCTTCAACAATATATATGAATGAGTATTATGTAATTAATGCAGCTAAAATATGTTTGCTAAATTATGCTAAAATGATAGTCTGAATGGGAAGGAAAATGACAGAGGGGAGTTTATAATGTGAGTATTTGTAGGGAAAAATCACATTTCTATACCAATTTCCTTTACTTAACATAGTTTTCTTAGTCAAAGATGCTTAAAGCTAAACTTAAGTAAACTTAGTAACCTTACTTAGCTAGTCAAATTGTGATTTTGGTTTAAGACCTGCCTTAATATCCTTCTGATTTCCCAAACATAAAACCCCAAAGAGCCTGCCTCACATTCTTGGAACCTAAAAACCATATGCCTAGCCCTATATAGATATATCAAACTAAAAAGAGAAAACTGAAAGCGACATCTTTGCCATAACTTAAACGGAGCTCCTCTTAATGGGCACCGTAATGAAAACTTCATCGTTTTGTCAGATTCTCGAAAACAATTTGCATAAGGACGGGAGGCGGCGGCCATGCAAACAGCCATAAATCATTTAGCACTAAGACCCCTGGCCAATGTCCTGGAACTGTCCCCCTCTTCTCTTTGGCCATCTCTTTCTATTCCTTGTTTTCTTTCTCTTTCTATGGTCTGTCTGGTTTACTCTCCTCCTCTGCCTGGCTTCATTGTGCTTTTAATTCTAATTTTAATTTCACACCAAAACTTTTGCCCTGTCCTGCCCTGCCTTGCCTGCCTGCCTGCCTGCTAGCCTGCCTTTGGACTACTTCGTTTTCTTTTCCCTCTTGATTTTCCATCTCCTTCTTGGGGAAAACCCCCAATGCCACGTTGTTGCAATTTTCTTTTGAAAGTTTTCTCTTGTCCATGTCGTGTCGTGTTGTGTCGTTCCGATTGCGGTGAATGATAATGAACGCAACTCGTCCATTGTTTGCCAGGGAATTTCATTTCGATTCATCCACCACTATAAGTATCTATATATAACCCTTTGGATCAGCCCTAAAAAACCCAAAGGTCCAATTAAAGACGACCCCAAAATTGCGGCCAGGTGGGTAAATAAGATCGCTCGAATTCAAGTTGTGGATAATTAAGGACAAAAAACATGTAATGAATCCCTTTTCCTGACCCCCCCTCAAATCAAGTTCGCGTTTATGCCAAAGGGTTGGGACTAGCTAGTTCAGAATCAAATCAATTAAGCTAACAATTTGAGCTGAAAATGAAGAGAAGAAAGTATTAGGAAGGGGTTCAGTTTGATTTCATTTCATGTTTCATTTTAAATCAATGATTAGAATGAAGTTCAATGTGAAAGGGAAGTTGGTT